GTTGTCATCGGAAAAGTCACTTCTTGAAATAGAGGTGAAGGTGAAGCCTACGAAGGTCATTAATTTGTTTATGTAATATTAGACGTACTAGAGTGGAGATGCGTCGCCGCAGCGGTTACAAAACAAACCTGAACGAAACAAAAGGGAAAGTTTTTCTCTGGGGCGATCCCTCTTTTTCTTTGCGGAAGAAATTTCTCATGGAAAATCAAATTTTCATAGCTCTTCTTGTTTTCATCGCAATCAACCCAATGAATTTTGCGTGTCCTCAAAGAAAGCATGTGTTCTTGCTGGGTGGTCAGAGCAACATGGCCGGACAAGGTGGCGTTGTGAATCGCACATGGGACCATTTCGTGCCGGCACCGGAGTGCAACCCGAACCCTAAAATCCTTAAACTCAATGCAAAACTGATATGGGAAGTGGCAAAGGAACCTCTACATTCAGGGATACACGACCCGATTACCGGAATCAGGCCGGGAATCCCCTTTGCAAATTCGTTACTGAAAAGGATTTCGAATTATGGGATCATTGGTTTGGTGCCTCGTGCAATATCCGGGACGAAAATCAGCAAGTGGCAAAAAGGAACCCTTTTTTATAACCAGTTGGTGCGTCGAGCGAAAGCTGCAATGAAGAATAATAATGGTGATAAGAATAAGAATAATAAAACGGGTAATATTGTTGAAGCGCTTCTTTGGTATCAAGGAGAGGCTGATACTCTGAACCAAACGGATGCATATGCGTATAGAGGCAGATTACGGCGATTCATTGCGGATTTACGTTCAGATTTGAATTTACCTGACCTTTTGGTTATCCAGGTACTTTTATACTAGCTATTTTGTGCATGTTTTGGTCCCCGTGGATATGAATCATCATGTGTATAGTTGTCCCACAAAAATAATCTTTTTTTCCCCTAATCTTTTAGGTCAATCAAATTTTTTAAAATCTATTTTTCGATTTGTTTGAATTGTATGGGGGAAGTATACTGAATGGTGGTAATTAGTCGGGCATGGACTTCTTAAAGCAATTTTATGGGGAGTTTGATTGATAGTTGGATTTGATATGACTTAATTCATCACATTTGTGTGTTATCCTGTAGGTTGGGTAAACGTCCTAAGTTAGTGGTAAAGGTTTATGAGGAGATGTTTTCAGGTTCCGGTAACCAAATGGATAGTCCTAGCACGTACAAGACATGTTAATCGTGATATTGTCTTAAATGATTATCCTATTTACTTTTTAAAATTTTTTTAATATAATTTATATTAAAAATAAATAATCAAGTCGGATAATTATTTCTGAACAGAAAGAGTATACAAAGTGAATGGAGTTTAGAATTGCTACTAATTGAAATTCTAAATATAAAATTAACGAGTGTTGGTAAATTTACTTTGTAGGTCGCATTGGCTTCAGGAAGAAAGCATTATATAGACATAGTGCGAGAAGCACAATTTCACGTTGAACTTCCTAATGTAAAATGTGTTGACGCCATGTGATTACCCCTTCAAGCTGATAGTTTGCATCTTACTTCTTGTGCCCAAGTCCACCTTGGCAAAATGCTATCTGATGCTTTTATATTAAGTAATTAGTCAGTACCCTTGGTAATATATTTGCTGCTTTAATTTGCTGTGAAGGTGCTGAGTTTTCTTCCTACTATCACACTTACTAAGGTGATATGTTTATATTTTACCTATTTATTATATTCCTAATTTGTGATTTTTGCAATATATTTTGAGTACAAATATACTATTTATGTGATTTTACCTTTAATTGTAGGAATTGTACTCAATTGGAGGAATTGTTGAAGTTTTGAGCTAAAATCGAATTAAAAGTAACTCAATGGGAAAGAATTGAAGATTGGAGCAATTGATGGGAGAGAAATTAATGAGTTTAGAGAATTGGAGGGCCAATGATGCAATTTTAGAATGTTTAATTTTTGGAAAATTAGCCGAAGGTTACGATGATGGTGCGGCTGATTTGGGATTGGAATTGGATAACAATTTTAATCCCGATATTATTTGGGAAACAAGTTTTCTTGCTCTTCAAGAAGTAGGGTTTAGACAGAAGCCTATAAAAAGAGGATTAGGGATTTATTTTTATAACAGAACTGAACCGAAAACTGGCCGAAAACCTTACGGCTGCAAATCACCTCTGCCTCTTCACCGCCATCCACCTTCTTGTTTCTTTCTCACCGCCGCCGACCACCACATTCCCTCCTCCTTCACCGGCAGCATCAGCACCCTCCACGCAACTCCAGCTCCTTCTCCTTCACGCAGCCACCATCCTCGCGCACACCAGCCCTTCTTCACCTCCACGCTGCTCCACCTTCTCCTCTTCTCCGCCTTCCTGGTCATGCCGCACCACCGAAGCAGCCGAGCACCACCATCATCAACAGCTTCTCCTCCTTTTCCACACGCAGCGGCATCATCATTGATCACCAACGAAGCGAGCAGCAACCGTCCGGGAGTTTTGGCGGCTTTAGGCTTCATTCGGGTTTTGAAGTTTAATTATTTAATTTATTTATTTTTATTATGTCTCTAAATATTATTGAATTATTTTTAATAATGTTTAATGACTAAATTATTTTAATCTAGGGCTTGGGTGTAGCCACCGGATTTATTTGGTCATTTATTTGGTTCATTATTATTTGATTTTTCTATTAATTAATATTTGTTATTCTTTTTTTAATTCGTGTAAGTAATTGGCCGCTATTTGCATGTCTGAAGATATTAATCGAAGTAGTGAGAGTGGAAGATTAATATTAGTTCGTAGGAATAATAAACTTAGGTCGTAAGCTACGAGAGTAAGATTATAACCTTTGCAATATTTGATTCTTAATGGTCTTAATGTGCTTTTGTTAATCACTATAGTCACGAGAGTAGTCATAGGGTTAATCTAAGTAAGAGAATTATAACACGAGAGTGAATAGTTCTTAATTAGGTGAATCGTTGTGAGATTAATGGAAGTTAAAAGTCAGATATTTGTGAATTGAACTAAACCAAATATTCGGTAGGTGAACCCAATGTCCTAGGTTTTCTTTGTCTGATTATTTGAATTAATATTATTTGCTTTTATTTTATTTATTTATTTTAGGTTTAAATTTTATAAATATGAGATTATCATTTATCTAGATAATAATAGGAGTAATTTATACCTGGTAATTAGTATTCCTTCTCTGTGGGATCGACCCTGCTTTCTGCTTTACTACTAGTAATTGTATTAAGTAGGTAATTATTATTTGACTAATGTGACGACGACTTGTCATAAGGATATTCAAAATCAAAGTGAAAAATATTTCTTGGGAAAATTTGCATGTTGAAAAAGAATTTTCTTTTTTTTTTGAAAAGGAGTTGAAAAAGACTTACTCAGCTAGAATTTGGATCAGTCGAAATAACAATTTCGGACACTGGGTGCGTAATATATAAAAAAAAAAAATTTCCGTGAGAAATTATGAGTTGAATTTCATTAATAGCAATTGACATGAAGTTTCGAGTCAGAAAAAAAGATTTAAGACATACAATTGGAACCTGTTAATGTATGGTGATTGGTACCTGAATTTTATTTCATCAACTTGCAAATCATGATATTTGGTGGAAATATTTAATTTTGCTGCTACAGATTTAGGATTAGAAATCACATGTATAAGAAGCCTTGAATAGTACAAGCGGCAACATTAATTAAACCACAATTCGATAGGAACGACTTAAGCAATTGGAGTACGTTCGAGACTTCATCAAGTTGCGCATAAGGCCAAAAGTAATAATAATAATAATAACTAGATGTTTGGCCCAGGCAGATGCCCGGACGCCCCTTCTAAATTACTATTTTATTAAAATCTAATTGAATTACTATTTTTTGAGGAATTAATTTGGCGTATATATTATTTATGCTATGGTTTGAGACTTAAAAAAATATACCTATAAATCTGAGGTTATAAGGGAATAATAAATAATTAGTTTATAAGGCATTATTCTTAATTACTGGATTTAGGTTTTTTTATTTTTTGTTTATATTAAGCCTGCAAAACTGTACGATTGGACATTTGAATTTGAATTAATATATCCATTCGTTTGAAATGTAACTGATTCTTATTTGTAGAATTTTTCCATTGGATAAGTGTCACATTTAAAACATGTGTTTTTTTTTTAAAAAAGAATTATATAGCTTCTAATTAAAAGATATTTACACGTGGCAAAAAAACTTCTGAAATCTGAAATATGGTGCATTGGAGCCAAAATAGATGCATACGTAGTTGCCACATAAGTTTCATGTCTTCTGCTTTAATAGGGTATATATAAAAGGATGATAATAATAATAATAATAATAATAATAATAATAATAATAATAATAATAATGTTTTAACCACAGCAAATAAAATTAATGAAGTTACAAATTATCAAGTTAAGACCAAAATTCAAATTATCTTCAGTTCTTCAAGAGATGTCAAATAAATAATCCACTTGACTGTTTACACTCTGTCAATTAAAAATCTTCGCTATCATTTTTAACGCAACGTAGTAATTTTATAAAATTTTTTACACACACAAAAAGAAATATATTATACCTTATTAGAATTTCTTTGTGAGATTAAAACAGTGCATAAACAATTATCACAATTTAACTGTAATGCGTATATTTAGAGATCCAAAAGTACTGATCGATTTTGTTTGCCAGCTAAAGTCAACCCATATCATTTCTTAAGTCAAACATTAATAAAACTGTATCATCCAGTTAAGAGACAACCCATTAGCCCCACTATTTTTAATGACAAATTGGATGTTTAAAAATTAATTTTTTTATTTTATTTTTTGTTTTCGTTTTTGGGTTGGTACAGTTGGAGAACAAGTAAGAATCAAACATAACAACCTTATTTGAAGACTGAATTATCAAATTTTTGGCATCATGTGTGACCAACTGGAATCCAGAACCATGCATCTTGTCCTGTTCGAAATGTTAATTAATTTATACCAATAACTAAACAATCTTCTTCTTTAAGACTAGGACTAATTAATTGCTGGCTGCATTTCAGAACAAGGTTGCAAATCATGACACCTTTTTCCATCTTAGTAGTTCTTCTTATGGTACTGTTCATCATCAATAATCCCATAAGTAGTACTTCAGCATATCCTCAAACAAAACACATATTTTTGCTGGCCGGTCAGAGCAACATGGCTGGCTTCGGTGGCGTGGTGAACGACACATGGGATCACGTGGTTCCGCCGGAATGCCGCCGGAACCCAAACATCCTCCGGCTGAACCCGAAACTGAAATGGAAAGTTGCAAAAGAGCCTCTCAATGAAGGGGTAGATAGGTGGCCAAATGGAATCGGGCCGGGAATGCCATTTGCAAACGCATTGCTGCAAAAGATTCCGAATTATGGGACCATCGGTTTGGTGCCTTGCTCGGTATCGGGGACGAAAATCATCGATTGGCAAAAAGGAACAGATTTGTATGACATGTTGGTTACTAGAGCCCAAGCAGCTATGAAGAATGAGAATCGGAATGGGAGTAATAATACTATTGAAGCCCTTCTTTGGTATCAAGGAGAAAGTGACACTAAGAACCAAACAGGTGCTTATGCATATAAAGGAAGATTGCAACAATTTATTCTGGACTTACGATCAGATCTGAATTTGCCTGACCTTTTGGTTATTCAGGTATAACTTTTATCAGCTATTTTATAATTCGTGTATTTGGCGTCTGAAATTATTATTCCGAGTGAAAGTACATTGAGTATGTATGTATATCGTTTATTAATTTCGATAATGATAATATTTGGTAGGTCGCATTGGCATCGGGAATTATAGATTATTTAGAGGTAATAAGGCAAGCGCAGCTCCATACTGACTTGCCTAATGTAAAATGTGTGGACGCCATGGGATTACAACTTCAACCTGACAATATACATCTCAGTACTTGCGGCGAAATCGCCCTCGGCAATCTGCTAGCTGATGCTTTCATTAATAATTAGTTTGTCTCTTAGCACATGTAGAGAAATCCATTTCAACAAATGTAACACAGAAAATATTTGATTAAATTGTAAACCGATGAGAATGGTTATGTCGTAGACACAATTAATATGAGCCCTTTCTTAATTATGTTGGGCAGTTTTGAACTTTTTATAAAGCAAGTAGTGGAAAATGACATTCTCACTTTTCCAAAAAGAGGTAACATTATCAAAGAGTAAGCTCTTGATGTTACACAAAATTAGTTGAATACATACATGATGGTACTCTAATCAACCAAAAACTGCCAAATTCCAAACTCTCTCAATCCCCATCTTCTCCTTCATCGGATGCTTCTTCCAGCCACCGGATGAAAGTTTGTGCTTGCTTAAACAAGACCTGATGGCTCTCATCTGCACCTTCTTCCTCGGAAGCCCACGTCAATATCGCTTCCTCTTTCACAATATCTTTCTCATATAATAGATGCAGAATCAGAATGTCCAAAAACATCTGAGAGTACTCCTCCTTGGTTGATTCCGCCAAGCACATTTCTTGGAATTTCGCAATCACTTCGACCTCCTCATCTATGCTCGGAATGTAATGCGTTAGAACTTTCCACCATTTGACGAGCAGCCTAGCGACATTTTTCAGTAACTCGCCGCGGGAAACATGACCCATGGTCAATGCCAACTTCATTATTGAATAGAACAAAGCTCCAGCACAATCTCTCGCTTCCAGATTGAATGATAACCGCAGTAATGATGGATCAGCACAATCACTATTATTATGTCTAATGTTGGGTTGCTGATATAAAGATACCTTTGAAGAAGCCGGAACCACAAAATTCTGTCCAACTACTACGTTGTACGACAAAACAACACCGGGTTCAAGAATCCCACCTGATTTGATGACCACCCCATCACACACTATTATTTCAGACAGTAAAAAGACCAATCCGAGCAGAGCTTGCCAGTTCAACTCCTGATCCTCTGTATATCCCCTGCCTCTCGAGCTTAGTTGTTGCAGTGGTGTTAATTCCGAGAAATTGGACATCAGGCACCAAAGGAAACGTCCACCTTCGAATAATGTCTTTGCTAATGGTGTCATTTCTTGGGAAATTGCCAATCCTGGCAGCATAATAACTCGATTGAATTTCATGGGTGAAAATCTTGTAACCGGAAATATCATCATCCTCGAGTAAGCCCATCAGAAAGTCGCGTCGCAGATGCTGATAATCGAAATTATCAGCAAAAAGACTGAGGACTTAAGGAGAACAAATGTCAATGTAGCAATCCTTCTTGTCATTATGAAGATACATAATAGAAGAAAGCAAGTTCTTGTCAATTGAAACTGTTCCGATATCATTGTCATCGGCCCTCTTTTCCTCGTAATGCAGGAGCTGTTTGGTACCAGGATCAATTGCCATTAACAGATATTCAGTTCCAAGACGAGATTGGTACGTCGACGACGCCGGAGAAACCACCACGGTCATTATAGCATTATTTTCCTTTTTCCTTCTCTCCCTGTGCTCTTTCACAGCATCCTTAAGCGGGATATTACTAATAGTATCTCCGCTGACAAGTATGAAATCGCCGCGTATCACACTGTGTTCATAAATCAGACGCAAAGCGTCTCCTGCGCCAACTGAGCCATTGGATTGTATTGTTTTCACTGAGAAATTGGGTTGATTGAACCACTGAGAATTACCCAAATGCTCAATCACCTGTTTAGTCTGATGAGAAGAGCAGATCACGAAAACCCCTTCAACTCCGGCGGATTCGAGCCAAGATAGAGTGTACTCTCAATCATGGGGATATTAACCAAAGGCAGCAAAACCTTTGGACGTTGTAAGGTTATTGGATGGAATTTAGTAGCGAAATCATCAGCCAGGAGAATGGCTTGCAGAGGTATCCGCGTTACATCCTCTTCCTCCACCGCAGAATCTTCTGTCATTCTCATTACTCTGCCCTTTTTCGACGCCATTGTTACTATGGAATTAGAATGAATACGGCAAATCAACTGTTCGAATATCAAATGCAAATTTGTTAGTACTATTCATATGGCCGTATATTTATATGGGTCTATAAGAGTCGGCCAAAATTAAAGCACCCTGAAACCGGTTTTAATTTGGTTTTGGAACCGAAATTTCCTGAATTCTCTTGGGAAATAAATAATTATGATCCCATAATTATTTTTAAAACTACATAAGTAATCATAAATACATTTATAAGTCCGCTAATCAAACTAGGAAATAACAGATATTGGCAATGTTATCCTCCACTTATTTTACGCGAAGGAAAGTTGGACTAGGACGAATCTCCGTCGACTTAGGTTTCGTGGCAGTTACGTCGACGAATCTCGCATGAAAAAACTTTTTGTTTGAATTCAAATTGATAAGAGAATATTGCTATTGACATGAGGATCTAGTACTCATGACTCTCGTATATTTCTGTGTAATCTACCATTTTTTGCTAAAAATTGTATGGACACTCCCAATCCAAACTAAAAACAAAAAACAAGTGGTTGTCTCATAAAAGAAAATTTGAATGGTTCATTGAAGGGGCATACCAAACGATGGTAATTTTGGGAGGGAGGAACTAGGGAGTAGTATTTTCTTAAAAGAAAAAGAAAAGGAAAAAAGTAGTAGTATTTCACTTAAAGGGAAAGAGAATGCATAATGGGTATACAATTATTTAATCATTTCGCAGAATTGACGATCGTATTTGTATAACCATTTGCTGTGAGTCGCAAGCACACATTTAATTGATATCATTCCATGAGTAGTAAAATTGTTTATTGAAATTCTTACAACTCAGTAAACTAAATTATTTCGAATACCAAACTAATTAATAATCGAATGCAATTAATTGAACAAATTAAAAGATAGCTTAAACTCGTTTGGATTTTTATATGATCATTTTTTTAAAAAAAAAAATTCGGTTCACCATTACTAACTATTGCCGCATGTGGTCATCTTTGATCTTTTTTTTTTTTTTTAATCGTTAATGCCCTAATGTTTGGTCTTATATCTTGTGCGCCTTATATTGATCAAATGCTTCTTTGATTTTATTGAACTACTTGTAGTATTAATTTACGTCTTATAAATCAAGACCAGAGAAAGTATGTTGGAAAATCCCCATTCTGAATTCCTGTGGATTTGGGTCCTTGAATTCATAGGAAAAATCCCTGGAAGAAATTATTAACTAGGTCAGAATTCCCTCTTGAACACCCTAAATGTTATTCTCTTCTCGAAGTATAATGAGGTGGCTAAATACACATGGTAAAATGTGACGAATGTTGTTGAAAGAGCATACATAGAAATGTTGTGATAAATTCTACTCTTATTTATGATTAGTGAAAGAATATTTCTCTTCTCTCTATTTTCCTTTATTATTATTTTTAGAAACTCCAAATATGAATTTCTACCTAATGCTGATACATATGAATCCCAAGCTAACCGGAGTGGAATAGAAAAAAGGTAATGAATTAATCAGGCAAGATGAATTATTCGTTTCTTATGGATAAAATAATTAATTCATTCAACAATACCTTCGATGAAGATGTATTCAGCAAGTATAACTATCAAAGTATGTCAGCTGGCTGTCCTCTCTCGAATGACCAATCATCTCTTATATACATGTCAGTATTATTTAGAATGTGAAAGATATTTCAACGGATCTTTCTTTCATTGACCATAATTTTTTTTTTGTCGAACACGTACGAGTTTTGGAGGGTTTGGAATATATTATGTTTGATCGGATTTTTTTTTTTTTCTACCCTCCAACTTGCAAATCTCGATTAGTGGAACCATAGTATACACAAGGCCTTTCTTACGTTGGGCAGTTTGAACTTTTCTAAATCAGGTGACATTCTTTCTTTTCCAAAAGAAAGAGAGTATACATTTATCAAAGAGTAAGCTCTTGATGTTACACCAAAATGTAGTTGAATACGTGATGGTTTACGGTAACTCTAATCTACCAAAACTGCCCAAGCTCTCTCAATCCCCATCCTCTTCATCGGATGCTTTTTTCAGCCACCCGCAGGGACGGACTTGGTGAGGGGCTTGGAGCAAGAAAAAGAAAAGAAAAGAAAAGAAATTGTTACTAGCACTTAAAATATTTTATTCTTAAACAAAGCATCTCCAGTAATTTTTATAATGTATAAATTTTGTCTGCTTACAATTCTTGAATAAGTCTAGTGGCGTACAATATCCATTCTAATTCCTCAATTCTATTACGTTTTTACTTCAAAAAGGGAAAACATTTTAAATTTTCTTAACTCAAAAGTCGACCAAAAAACTAAGGAAAAAAAACCCCTCGGTCGCCTCCTCAAAGGCTCAAAAGTTTTTCAATATCAAGAATCAAGATTCAAGTTCCATTTTCCAAATTGCTAATTCAGGATTCCATTCAAATAATCTAATAATTTTGAGTCTTGTATCTTTCATTATTTCATTGTCATTTCTTTTTCTTTTTTTTTCTCGGAAACTTTAGTTTGGTTTTTCTTCGGAATTACGATGACCGTTCAATTGAAGGGAATAATATTAATATATGGTGGGTAGAATTCTTATTGAAGTCGTATATTTTTTTTATAATTATTATTAGATATTTGTGAAAAATTAAGTTGATTCATTGATAAACTATATGAGTTGTTACTATTTTCTTGTGCACTTTTGTTAATTGTTTTAATGTTCGTGATTTTTTTACCGCTTATTAATTAATGTTGCACTTTTTTAGTGGGCTAGTTAGAAAAATACATTTAAGTAATACTCATGTCATATAGACCTTTTTCAAATGTTCATTTTTAATTTGTTGTTTTTTTCCCCCTTGTCACATGGTGAAGCACAACTTAGAACCTGGTTCCGTCCTTGGCCTGCGGAGGAAAGTTTCTCCTTGCTGAAACAAGACCTGATGACTTTCATCTGCAACTTCTTGCTACAACTGTTTTCCAGCTAAAAGATCAAACCATAATTTACTAGTTTAGTACTCCGTCCATCCAAATATATATTTAGTCTAATTTATTAAACTAAAAATCTAGAATAATAAAGTAAAGTGAGTTATGTTTCTGTGTCATAAAGGAGTGTATAATAAATCGGAACGTGGATCTTTATATTTTGCTTGATTTCAGCTATAGAGAGAGAGCGCACCCGAATCAGATCAACAAGTTTGAAAAACTGAATTAAAAAAAGTTTTAGCATCTTTTCACCAACTCGAATCAACGAAACTAATGCATAAAACTTCACAATATGATTAAACAATATATGTTGGGGGTACCTTTTCCAAGTCCTCCAAGTCAATGGCATTAAATGGCTACATTTTGCATTAAGCACAAAATCATCCATCAATCATGAAGAACTTGTTCATACTACTTGTATTAGCTTTTATCAATGCCATCAATCATCAAGCACATTGTGAGAGTAAACATATATTTTTGCTGGCTGGTCAGAGCAACATGGCCGGACTTGGTGGCGTGGCGAAGCGCCGGTGGGATCACGTTGTGCCGGAGCCGGAGTGCATCCGGAACCCAAACATCTTCAAACTCAACGCAGCACTGAATTGGGAGCCCGCGGAAGAACCTCTCCACGCAGGTATCGATATCAGGACAAACGGAATCGGGCCCGGAATGCCCTTTGCTAATTCGCTGCTACGGAAACTCCCGGATTACGGTGTAATTGGTTTGGTGCCTTGCGCGATATCAGGGACGAGGATCGTTCAATGGCAAAAAGGAACAGATTTGTATCATATGTTGTTGAGTAGAGCCCAAGCTGCTGTGAAGCAGAATGGGAATGACAGTAGTACTATTGAAGCGCTTCTTTGGTATCAAGGAGAAAGTGACACTAAGAATGAAAGAGATGCTTATGCATATAAGGGAAGATTAGAGCAGTTTATTACAGACTTACGAACGGATCTGAATTTGCCCCACCTTTTGATTATTCAGGTACTTTTTCCTATCCAGCTTAGTAATTTCGTCCAAGTCCTATACAATAATTATAACGGGGTAATTTCTTGTTCCCTCTGCCTTTACAAGTTGTTAGTTCACATTTTGTTAATACGTCAAAGTGGACTATCACAATGGGACGGACGTGGAGTATCATTATTTAACTGATTCAAATTGATGTAATTGTTGATGAAACTATGTATTGTATAGGTTGTATTGGCGTCAGGAAAAAAGGAGTATTTACTTGAGGTAGTGAGAAAATCACAACTCCACATTGTACTTCCGAATGTAAAATGTGTGGATGCCATGGGATTAGCACTTGAAGATGATAATTTGCATCTCACTACTTCTGCCCAAGTCCGCCTTGGCAATATGCTCTCTGATGCTTTTATTGATTACACCAGGTCTATTAATTTCTTTCTTCATTTCTCTGAGCTAATGTAAAATTAATTTTCTTAGTATTTCAGAAACAGAGGAAGTGTTACTACTTTGGTTGATGTATTAAAAAAGATCAGATGCCTTTAAAGGTGGATGACATGACATCCATTTGAAAATGTAGGTTGATCACTTCCATGAATATCTAACATAAACTTACCGTCTCATTTCAATTGTGTAAAGTATTCCAAGAAAATATATTATTAAAATAAAATGAGCAGACTATGAAATAGTCCCTCTGTGTTGATAATATATAGATTGTTTTCTTTTTTCCTTTTTTTTTTTTTTAGTTACAATCAACAGCTCTTTTTTTGGTTAAGTAACCGAAGGAGGACCATCTAGCTGATGGCAAATGTGACAAGTTGGGCTATCTGTTGGGTGTGGATCCAGTGTGTCCCAAAGCTATCAATGTGTTGTTTTAGTAACGTGTTAAATTTTGGTGCGAGATGAATAAAAACGTATAGATTGTTAAGAAAAGTCTAAAAAGATTAAAATTGCAACAACGTAGAGGGGAAATCCATCTATCCTGATGACGGGCTTCCATGTACATATGTTTGAGGTTAATTTCCTTTTAGTTTTCAACAGATTAACACGAAGTCCATCATACAAACATATGACTTTGGAAATATTTGGGATATTCCTTTCTTCAAGTGCAAAACAAGTTAGTAACCACAAAGACATCTTGTTCTTTTTAATCACATATAATAGACTGAGGTGCAAAAGCTTTTAACTTCAGAAGCATTCATCGTCTTTAGAATTATATATGTTGACTAACGGTAACCTCCCAAGATGTGCAATTTTAAGTGCATGGAATACTCGTTTGCGATTTATATACACTGAATTATTAAAATGAATTGTTAAGTTGTTTTATTTCGATACACTGAATTATTAAAATGAGATAGAAAGAGTACATATATACTTCATTTTCTAAATCTTACATCAGATTTTGATAGATCAGCTAGCTAACTGGCAAATAAATGTTCAATATCTTGATGATTACTAAACAATCGGTATACATTTATTTGATCATTCCGCAGAATTGACGGTCGCATTTGCATCAGCATTTGCTGCGAGTATACCGCAAGTGCACATGTAATTGATACTGTTCATAAGTAGTAAATTTGTTTAGTGAAATTCTGACAACTCAGTATATTAAATTATTTCAAATATCTAACTTAAGTACCGAATGCAAATTAATTTAACAAATTAAAAGATAGCTGCAAACTCGTTTGAAGTTTTATATGATGACATTTTTTTTCCCCCCAAATTCGGTTCACCAATACTAACTATTGCCGCATGTTTTGGTGTTAAGAATGCGCGCCTCAGTTTTATCAATTACTTTCTCCAATCCTAATTATAAGATGGGCAGTTGAAATAATTTAAACTACATTTAATATTGATTTATGCCTTACATTTCTGGAGGCTAAAAACTGCTCTGACAATATCACTACCTTCATAAGATACATATTTAAAGGTGAGTAATTATTCAGGCAAAAGGAATTGTTCGTTTTTATCCATAAAGTATTAATTCATTTCAAGAATACCTTCGATGAAGATGTAATTCGGCTACTATAAATATATCAAAGTATCTCAGTTTGGCTGTCCTCTCTCCAAGTACTAATATGTCAGTTGGAGTATTAATTAGAATGTGAATGATATTTCGACGAATCTTTCTTTTGTTGACCATAAATTTTTTGTCGACCACGAGTTTTGGAGGGGTTGGAATATTATGTTTGGTCGGATTTTTTTTTTCCCCTCCAACTTGCAAATCTCGATTAGTGGATCATAGTTTGCTTTTGTTAGTATATTCACTTATGATCTTATTTATAAAACGGAAATTCAAATTAAATTTTTGTCTTGCAAGTGATCTGAAAATTAAGCAAACTTGACACAATTAGTTTCTATTTTGTCCTCACAGAAAGTTTAATGAGGACTTTCCTTAAATCAGATTTCCAAAAGGTAGTCAAACCCCATTGCTAGCTAGCTCTCACTATTTTAATGACAAGTTGGATATTCATTATTTGGGTTGAAAATGGAATAGTGCATGCCACGACCGAACTTGTAATAATTAAAAAAGAAAATGAATTCTAAATCTTACAAAATTTGTATAGCGTCATTTGACCAAAACAAATCATTGATCAAACCACGTAAAGAACGATCGATTAATATAACCTCATAAAATAAGATTGTTGGAGATTCAGAATGTTCAGCCATCGATCATAAGCTACCAATTACAATCAATATAAGATCAGCTGTAACTGAATAATAAGGAGTCCTAGCTAGCTAGTAATATCATCAATGGCTGCGAATATCGCAAAATTATCAATCAAGAAAATGTTGTACAAAGTAGTTGTTCTTTTATCTCTCATCAATACGATGAATTTAGCACATTCTCAAAGCTTGCATGTATTCTTGCTGGCTGGTCAGAGCAATATGGCTGGACTAGGTGGAGTTGTGAAGAACAAATGGGATCACCTCGTCCCGCCCGAGTCCAGCCCTAACCCGAACATCCTCAAACTCAATGCAGAATTACTTTGGGAGGTAGCAGAAGAGCCTCTTCATTCAGGTATATATATCCCTTTTTTCTTTTTTCTAAAATGATTATTCTGTTTGAAATTTTTATTTTTAGTATAACTTAAACTAAAAATAAAAATTCAAACTAGATAATTATTTTGAGATGAAAGGAATATCAATAAGCTACTGGTATATCTTCTTCTCGATTTAAAGCGAATTTTACGAAAACCGTGCTGCAGGTATAGATACCAACGTGACAAATGGGATCGGACCCGGGATGCCATTTGCGAATTCATTGTTGCAAACGATTCCTGATTACGGGATCATAGGTTTGGTGCCTTGTGCAATATCCGGGACGAAGATCATAGATTGGCAAAAAGGAACTATTTTTTATAATCAGTTGGTGGATAGAGCTATGGTTGCTTTGCAAAATGATGATGGGAGTTTTAATACCATTGACGCCCTTCTTTGGTATCAAGGCGAGAGTGACACAATGAGCCAAGCAGATGCCAATGCATATAAAGGAAGATTGCAGCAATTCATCATTGACTTACGAGCAGATCTGAATTTGCCTAATCTTTTGATTATTGAGGTACTCCCTCTGTCCTATAATTATTGTCCAGTTTGAGTTTTTATTTCTAGTTCAAATTGTACTAAAAGTGAAATCTCAAACTGGACAATAATTTTGGGACAGAGGGAGTATTTTTTACTAGATAGCTAGCAATAGTCTGTGCAATTTTGGTCGAATAAATTTTGTTTTTGACGAAGGAAATATATTGTTTTGATTGTAGGTTGCACTGGCATCAGGAGGGAAAAATTATATAGACATAGTGAGACAAGCACAACTTAACACTGAGCTTCCTAATGTAAGATGCGTGGATGCTAGAGGATTACCTTTGCAACGTGATAAACTGCATCTCAATACTACTGGCCAAATCCAGCTGGGAAATTTGTTGACTGATGCTTTTATTAGTCCATTTTAGCTAGCTTATGTAAGTAATTTGTCTAATGCTCATTAATTGGGTGCAATAATATTAACAAAAAAAAGACATAGATGTATTTCACGTACGTTATCGATATTGTACAGAATCAGAATGTGTCCTCATGAAATTCTGGTGATTCATTTCATCGTATTACTGTACATCAGAGTAACTAATACAACTTGTAATTAATTTATAATACCTGAACTTTCGCCAACAAATAATTACGACAAGTCGACAGCTGCTGTGAATTTAAATAATAACGACCACACTGCTGAATGAATCTGATCTTTGTGAATTTTTGGGATGCGTAATTCGAAACCTGCGCCACTCTCTTTAATTGCTCTATTTCGTCCAAAACGATTGTCAAGTTTGATTTTTTATTTTTAGTACAAATTTTATCATAAAAGTAAAAATTTAAAAAAGACAAACTATTTCAGGACAAAGGGATTCTTTTTTGTGCATTCTGAATTTTCATTGTTTCTTAGTTATCATAATCGAATTGTCATGTTAGTATCCATAATTAAGATGGTCAAAACATAGATATCTTTATGCGAAAAGCTAAGGCGGAGACCTGAAGCATGTTTTGAAGTAGATCTACTCGAAGAGCATTTGATGAGCTTGAAATTGCCCAGTTTGAATTTTTTTTTTAATTATATTTTTGGGGATAATATCTGTAATTTAAAGACCGTTAATTGAGAATACTTCTCAAACATTATTGCATAAAAAAGCTTGCGGAAGTTATTAGAAACTCCATCGGTTAACCTGTTGAAAACGTAAATGTTCACTTCACCAAAATGTACTTCCTTTGTTCCAAAATTATTGTCCAGTTTCAACTTTCAGTTTTAGTTTAATTTATGCTAAAATAAAAATCCAAAATGGACAATAATATTAGGACGGAGGGAGTAAAACGACATACAATATCTATTAAAATTTGTTCGACAAAAACTAAATTAGCTCGAAAGACATCATGGAAAAACATTTGTTCATAGCTCTTTAATCAACACAACTAGTTCTGCATTTTCGCAAACGAAGCACATATTTCTGCTATCTGGACAATCGCTTTGGTGTACGTTATCCGGGACGAGTCTAATTTTGTGGTGAAGAGGAAGCATTTTGTATAATCGGTTGGTTAATCCTATTTCCGTTTCCAATTTGGATGTTTTCTGCATCCAAATTAAGCCTGAAAATTAAAAAAAATAAAAATAAAAATGGCCGCAATCAATCGTGCGCCACGCATGCATGCCGCAACTTCCAGATTTTCAGATTTTGGCAAATTTTAATAAAAATTCTGCCACTTTTCCATGATCCATATAGGGAAAACTCCCATAAATTAAGATTTCATAAACCAGTTTTGCCAAGTAAATTGGTTCACTTGTTCAAAATGCTAATGATCACTTCAACAATCCCTTAAAATTTTGTACCACTTGTAAGTACTCATTAAAAAATTTTACTAGTTTTTCCCAAAATTTCATCAAATCGCTAAAGAACTATTGCCGGTTTTTTTTTTTTTCTTTCTATAAGGGCAGGAGGGAATAACTTATAAAAAATCTTCCGAGTATAATTCCATAATGTTGTCAATACATCTAGCATAACGTAACCATCAAATCTCTAAAAGAGGTAAGTCATGTCGAATAAGAATTAGTTTAAGTATACAATATATTTATTTGAGAAAGTCTCGCATAACAAAGAAATAATGATATCATTGCAATTTTCACTTGGGTATAGCACCTTAAATTTACTGAATTTTAGTACCGAAACTCAATCAGATGATTTTTTGATGTGTAATTTGAGGTGCAAAGATATCCGTGGCAGTTTAAGTATGTACTCCCTCCGGTCTTTAATATAAGGTATTTTGGTTTGTCCTAGGTTTTACCTAATATGCATTTTTAATTGACGAAAAATATTAAAAATATTTTCTAACAATCAAGGAAAGAAAGGAAAGTGAGAATATATTTTAAAATTTTTTTCGTCAATTAAAAATGCGTACTAGGTAAAATTTAGAACAAATCAAAATGTCTTATATTAAGAACCGGATGGAGTGTACTTGCTCCTCTCCTCTGATACTCTTTAAGTATTTGATGCGATTGTAATTATACTCACCTTTCAGGGTCCATTTACCATTTCCGTGAAGATCTTGGCATCAAACATGTAAACATTAATTTTTCAATTTCAAAACATTGGCAAGGCCCCCTAAATAATATTAATTGCATAAACAAACTTGTCAATTGATTATCAAGTCGGTTCACCTGTTCAAAATGTTCATGATCACCAGTCACTACACTACACTATATATAATATCATTCATTTAAATTTGTTCAAATTAAGAAGTCCAAGATACATTAGCACTAAAGTTCAGTCATGGAAACATCTTCATTAATAGCCCTTTTAATTTTCATCAACACGATCAATTTTGCATATTCTCATACAAAGCACATATTTTTGCTGGCCGGTCAGAGCAATATGGCCGGCCACGGTGGCTTGATTAACGGCACATGGGACGGTGTCGTGTCGCCGGAAAGCCGGCCGAATCCAAACATCCTCAAACTCAACCCAATGCTTCAATGGGAGGAGGCAGAAGAACCTCTTCATGCGGGCATAGACCCAGGTCCAAATGGAATCGGACCCGGAATGCCCTTTGCCAATTTATTGTTGCAAAAAATTCCAAATTACGGGATCATCGGTTTGGTGCCTTGTGCCGTATCGGGGACGAGCATCATATTATGGCAAAAAGGAACCATTTTATATAACCAGTTGATGGATAGAGCCATGGCTGCTTTGCAAAATGGTGATGGAAATGGTAATGAGAATGTTATTGAAGCCCTTCTTTGGTATCAAGGAGAGAGCGACACTACAACCCTAATAGATGCCAAAGCATACAAAGCTAGATTGCAACAATTTATTATGGACTTGAGAACAGATCTCAACTTGCCTGACCTTTTGGTTCTTCAGGTACTTTACAAAGTTCAAGTATGCATCCGCCTCTCTGTTTTAAAATTATTGTCTGATTCGATATACTGATTTTATAATAAAAGGACCAACTATTTTTGTGCATCATTTTATTTTTTCAAACGATCGTATTTTTTTAAGGTTATTAATCACTTTGTATTGTAGGTTGCACTTGCATCAGGACTAGGGAAAATATCAAAATCTCAATATGTAGAAAGAGTGAGAGAAGCACAACTCAACATAGAACTTCCAAATGTAAAATATGTGGATGCCATGGGACTGCCTCTTCAACCTGATAACATACATCTCACTACTTCCGCCCAAGTCCGCCTTGGCAACATGCTTTCCCACGAGTTTACTGCTCACCAAAACTCGTTTGCGGACGTCTGATGCAAGTTTGCTGTTGGCTAGCTATTTATTGTCGTCTGATCATAGATATTCTTGATCGTGGTGGAGTAATTAAATATTGGTAACTACCTATTCTTGAAAATGAAAAATGTCTCACAGTGATAGTGGATTTGAACACCTGAGAGTATAATAAAAAATTCTCCCTCATTCACAAAATTATCGTTCAGTCTAAACTGAAAGTGAAAATTCAAATTGAATAATAATTTTGAGACGAAAAGAATATTAAAAAATAACGGTAAGTATGTATCTATTGATATTTGAGACGGCTTTGGATTAGATAAATGGATAGGGAACGCAGCTGCTAAGAAACCATTTTTTTCATCCTCAATTTTGCTTCTTGAAATCTTTGTTGTTGAGGACTTAGGAGAAGCACTATGTGCCTAATATTTCGAGAGTTTTGTCAGCATATAAAGTAAGATTTCCTATTACGTATTAATAGCTTGCATGAAATAAAAATGGCGGCGCTGTGTTACGTTTTCTCTGCACGGCATAAAACGTTATTGTTCGTGTTTTTATTTATTTTAACTTTTAAACAGTACTTTTTTATTAAGAAAGAAAAAAATCATGTTTTTTGAATCATTTATTCTGCTAAGTTTGGTAAATTGAACATCGAGTAAACAACAGAACACATTAAAGCAGCTAAGTAACTCATGACACCGACTATAAATACAGGCGATTTTCTTGTTTATTAAAAACTCCATCCTTGAGTGGTAGCTCGTTATAAATTAGCATTTACTCATCTACATTAATTTGTATACCTCTTTAATTAATTCTGAGCGAGTAATGACGTATGTGAAAATTCGCTAGGACAACCTATGAGAAATAGTGTGCACTAAATTAAATCCGTTTATTTTCATATTTCACATCTACAATATATCAGTTTAAATTCAGTGAATAGTCTACATTTAATCGACTCGCTATTACTCGCATAAAAAAAAAAAAAATTGCTGCATGCATCATTAATCTTTTGATATTAAGATTTGTCATTGTAATTGTAGATTAATTCATCATTTCACTAGACTTATATATACCAAACTACTATTGCCTGAGACCCTCACCATTTACAATTTTACATGTCACACATCTCATATGTGATGCCAACTGAAGATCTCATCACTTCTAATTTTCTTTAAATATCTAGAAAATAGAAGGTTAAGAACGATAATCTGCCAATAATTATAGTATCAAATGGAGTTACTATTACGCAGTGAGCTGGAATACGTATTCTACATGTAAAGTGCCTCTCGCCAACCGGACAAAATCCTGAGCCGATCTTCTTAAAACATAACCCCCGGAGATCTTCTTTGAATACACGTCATTTAGGGGTTTTTTCTTAATACTTTTATAGCTAAAGAAGAAGCCTTATTCATAATTAAACATTAGCCTTATGATGGTTAATTAATGAAAGTTGTTCAGAAATTTTTAAATAATCAGCGTAACTTTTCTTCACGTACCTATATTAATTGTTTTCACATAAACTCCAGTTGTTGTTTCTCCGAAGTCAGAACTAGGAAAGCTAGGGTAAAGATGCCATTTGTGTTCCTTCCTCCGTCCCATAATTATTGTCCAGTTTGTGTTTTCATTTTTAGTTCAAATTGTACTAAAAGTGAAATCTCAAACTGGACAATAATTTCGGGACAGAAGGAGTATGATATATAGAAGGACGTAGAAGGAAAGCTTGGTGAGGAATAAGGATAGATTATATTGAAATTGTTGGACAAAGTAATTGTACTGTTAAAATGAGACAAATAGAGAGGTACGATCGTGAATTTATGACCCGCAAATCTCTCTGTAGCTCTTTTATTCTTTTCTTTTTATTTGATATATATCTGCATCAAAAATTGAAAATGAATTCCAAATATATGGAATGAGTTGTGCCATTATTTTGAGTTCAGAACACATGTGCGTTACTGTAATATATACAAATCAACTAACGTATAATGATATTTATCTAGCTATTTCATCCTCAATTTACATTTCTATTCACAAGTTGGGTGGCGATTTTGTCACAACAATTTCTAACATTCAGTACATATTTTTTTCATTTTCTCACATTTACCCTTAATAAGTCAACTTTCTTATCTTACTTCTTCCTCCCTTCCTTTTTATGCGTTTCTCTCACATCACAAGGCTATCAATTTCCCTCCAAAACAATGAAAAACTTGTCCCTCCAAAAATCATCTATTAGCATAATATTAGGGATCCGAATTAAACAACCACCCTACTCATCTTTGGGGAAAAATTCTCTATTTTAATTGTACTTCTTGAAAAGATAAGGGGGGAAAAAAATCAAAGGTGGACTAGCTTCTATGTTATTTCATCTAATTCGTTCTTCAATTTAATCAAGTAAGTTTTCTATCTCCTATGTGTTTTTGTGTTTTTTAGGAATTGAAATACGATTGATAATGGGTTGAATGCATCCCAATTGTTTGATTTTCTTTTCCTAAGAATAATTTTTTCAGCAACATATTCCATAAGGAAACAAATGGAATAACACTTTATACAAAGGTTTTGATATGCTTTATGACTCTCATTCTTCGTATTTACTGTTGTCCAATAATTAGAAATCGAGTCAAATATGTCGTAGCATGTTGTTGGGAACTTTTATTGTGTTTAAAACCTGATATATTGTCTTCTAATTCGTGGGTTTTGTGGCGTTCATATGCAGGTTTTTTTTTTTTTTTTTTGGTGTGTGAATGGGGAGGAGAGCCTGAAGAAGATTTGTATTGAGTTATATTTAATTTTAAAAATCATGCATCAGAGCTCTTTGACCTTTGCCTTCATCTCTTTGTTTCTTGAATTCAGTTGTTTTACATAAGAAAGCATAAAATTTCGTCCTGGCAGTAATATTTGAACTCTTGTTGATTAGCTAGTTATACATACACCATCCTGTTAGTAAATTGTTAGGCATAAAGCTGCAAGTTATATTAGGCATAAAGGAAGAAAATCAAAATTATATATCCGATCTCAAGTAAAACACTAGATTGGGAAAGAACGACATACCAGGGGTTGAATCATTCCAAATTTTACTTATCGATCCGAGTATGATTAGTTTCGAGAATAGAACTTATCAAAGCAAATATCAAATTGATTATTCAAATAATTAAGCTAAACCAAAAAAAAATCACAAAAATGAAATGGCAAAAAAAAGAACAAGACAAATATATGTTTTCCGTTGCTCCGACCTTCCTCGTATGAAGAAGAAGAAGCCCGCCCTCTGAAACTTCTCCCTATTAGTGGATCCATAGCAATGTTAGTTTTTTTTTTTTTTTTTTTGCTAGAATTTTGTGAAGCTCTTGTATAGACATCTTTGAAGCTCTCTTGTATCTCGCGCCTCCTAATTAATTTCCTCACTCACACATTAAAATAAGTTTCCTAAAAAATATTTTCCGGATCAATTTGCATCAATGATTTATCAAATTCATCATCCAATTTCACTCATCAATTGACAATTGCTCGAATTGCCATAAAGTTCTTACATTTTTCAAATTCGCGCAAGAATTTCACTATGGGAGGAGAAAACGATGTGTCTGGAGCCAGGGAAAGAAAGAGAAAATTGATAATTCTTATGATTGAGGGAATAATTGAATAGGAGAGAGAGACGAGGGAGAGAGGAAATTAATAAAGTTGACTTTAGGGATAAATGTGGGAAAATGGGAAAAATATGCACTGGATGCTAAAATTTATTGTGGCAAAATCGTCACCCTTACAAGTTTTAGAAAAAAAAAGAAGAACAACAACAAAAAGCTCTCAGGCTCTGTTTGGTTGCATTGAATTGGGACCAAGAATTAGAATAGGAGCTCTTTAATTCCAATTCTTGTGTTTGGTCGGTAAAAATAGAGGTCCAAGAATTGAAATTATAATTCAAGATAGGGCTCAATTCTTTATTTTCAATTCTTTTATGGGAGCAAATAATTGGAATCTAAATTCAAGCACTTAAAAAAAATATGCAGGTCATAACCGGGTCATTTCCAGGTTATAACCTAAACGGGTCACCCTCTCATTTTTGTCTTTTGGCCTTTTTTTTTTATATATATATATTTTTTATTTTAATTTTATTGTTTTTCAACTTTTTTCTTTTTCTTTTTTTGCTTTAATCGCTTTTTTCTTTTTTCTTGGGTTGTTTGTCTTATTATTATTATTATTATTATTATTATTATTATTATCATCATCATCATCATCATCATCATCATTATTATTATTATATTATTTTAATAATTATCAACGAAATCAATCTAAAATTAACATTGTATCTTTTCTACAAAAAAATCAAAAGTATAGTTGTACCCGAAAAAAAAAATTAATAACTAAATATTTTAGTTTTGGGTTAAATTTTTATTATATTATGACATAGTAAACAACATAACATTTTCAATTTTTTTTATAGAAATTGTTCCATGTATACACCTATATTATAATACATATATATATATATATATTAGACTATTCATGGCATCTTTTCACCAAAAATTATGTAAGTTGAGTTTTAAGTATCTATTATTTCACAGGAAAATGATATATTTAGTGAAAAAAAAAATGTGAAAAAAGATAGTGAGTGATGTGGCTTATTCTTGGACCCTAGTTTTTTGTCACTTTTCCGTTAAAATTTTATCTTGCCCTTAAAATTACATTTTTACCCTTTATTAATAAATGCACATATTTAGTGAGGATGGTGTATTTTTCGTTTCATTAGTCACTATAATTTTTCACTGTAATTAGTCACTATCTTTATCATTGCTCTATTTCATATATAATTATATACTAGAATAAAAATATTTAAGCATATATTATATACTAATGTTAATCTATGTATAAATGAACCTCAATATTTATAAACTGAATTTACAATGTTATATAATAAATTTTTTAAATTTTTTGATATAAATCAAAACATAAAAAATTAAAAATTTTGAAAAATAATAAAAGAGAGAAAAACAAGGATGTTTTACGTGTTACTTGTTTGTGTATTAAGTAAGAATTTTAAGTATCATATTAATAATTCTTATACATAATAATATTTCTTTTGTTTCCAACAAAAATGTCTGTACATAATAAATTACAAAATTGATATAGAAAATTAATTAAAAGTAATAATTTTTTTTAACAAAAAAAGTCAAAAAGTATATTAGCTAAACAACCACAAAGTAGTCAAATATACATGTATATAATGAATTTATTTATTTTTTGTATTATACAAATCAATAATAAAATTAGTTTTTTTTTTAGTTTTTGACAAGAAGTATAAATTGTACTAGTATTAGTTATACAATAACAAACTAATTTCAATTCTAAAGTATTCAAACTTTTATGCATCCAAACACAAGAATTGGAATTAGAACCTTAATTCTTGTAAATTTTCAAGATTTCTCGAACAAAGGAATTGAAATTGAATTACAATATTAATATCTCATTTTCAATTCAATAGTATTGTAATTTTAATTCAATTACAATTCAATCTAACCAAACGGAGCTTCAATGTAAAAGTTTCTTTCAATTGTTTTCTTATAAAATTGCTTTTCTTGTAAAAGAGAAAGAAAGTGTATAAGACCAGAAAAAAAAAAAAAAAGTAAAGTAAAAGACCGGAGATAATGGTGGGTCAAACCCACATTATCTCACGCTGAGAAGTGTCGGAAAAACCGTAACAATTATAACCCCACCTGCAAGCACCACGCAAGTTGGTAATCAAGCCAAAATATTATTGAACTTGTTTCTTAGTATTCAATTTTGTAATTGAAACGTAAGTGCAACTATTGATCATGATAGTCACAAATAAAATTTTAGTTGGTCGATATTATGTACATAACCTCTCTGATTTTCTTTCTTATCCTGTTTATAAAGCAAAAGTTTCAACAAGATCAATTCAAAATTGTGTCTTACATTGGATCGGAGGGACTGTACAACATGGTAGCTGAATTTAACTTAGGTAGCATACTAGTTTCATGCGGGACTGCATAAACAAGTACAGGGTAGTGCAGAATTATCAGGACAATAAAATAGGTTCATGATATAATAAAATAAAACCAAAAGGAAGTGCAGAAAGTTGTCTTTCCCCTGAGGTGTCAAGGTGACTCAGTTTACGACTTTGAACCATGATTAAGTTTTTATTTCTAATTCAAATTGTACTAAAAGTGAAATCTCAAACTGGACAATAATTTTGAAACAGAGGTAGTACATGTTAATCCAAATTAATTGCACATGAACTGATTAATTACTACAAGACTTCTATTTAAAAATAAAATTATGTTGGGAAAGGTGCTGTCATCTCTTAAAATAATCCATATGGAGTTTTGAAATTTGTACTAAAAATAATATTTCTTTTGTCCCTAAACTATTGTCTAAACTTAGAATTTTTATTTTTCATATAAATTGAGCTTAAAGTAAAAAATCTAATCTTGACAGTAATTTTAGAGTAAAAAAGTAATAATCTAAAAGTTCCATGAGGTTAACTAATCAATGTCACTGTTTAATTGTCACTCATCCTCAAAAAAAAAATAATAATAATAAAAAAATCGCATAAAAAGGAATGTATTCCCTACTATGTCTCGACAAAAAGTAAATTAATAAAAAAAAATCGCATAAAAAGGTTCGAAAGCCCTCAAATCATCGCCACCTACATATATCTCTAATCATTTAAAAACAGTAATTATTTAGTTGTTTAATCCATCAGTCAAGTGATTTGATGATTAGAAAGTTTTATCATAGACAAAATAATACGCTAGTATTCTTCTTTGTAAATAATGATTATCGTAGTTTATAGTATTCCTTCTATTCCATAAAAACAGTTCATATTATAAATTGTAAATTTCAATTTTAAATATATAATCTGTACTATTTATAACATCGTGTATTTAATTTTGTGAGAGATATAGATGGAACATTAAAAAATTAAAATAGTTTGATGTAGTTAAAAAGTAAGACAATTATTTTGATGGTAGAAGGAGAATACGGAGAAAGTATATATTTTAATGAAAATACGTTCCAGCTCCCAATAATAACACTATTAATATTTAGATAAGAACAAGGTATGTATATGCAAGTTGAAAGTAGAGGTGTGAACTAAAGTAGCGGCCAAGCCTTGGATTAATTATCTCAAATCGACCAAAAAGCTTAGAAATTTTTTTTAAACAAGTGGCCGGTGAGCTGTGAAATCTATTTGTTTATAAGATATTCAACAGATTTCGTCTTCCCCTTATAATTACACTAATAATAATCAAAAGTACTACAATTCTTGCTAATAAAAAAAGCAACAAAAATAAAAGTATTTGTTCTTCATGTATATGTAGGTACTATTTAAATGTATCGTATCATATCAGATCATTTGTACAGTAGTACGTACTAATTGTTAACCAATAATTAAGGATTTGCAAATCTTCAATCTATCTGGCTGGGAACATGGATAACTCTTTGATTCCTTGGTACCACATGGATGGCACTTTTCTTTTTCACGAAGATGTACCAATCCCAACCAATAATATTTTCCACCTTGTAGAAGATGACCAAACTCTCTTTCCAGATGTTCAAAACCCTAATATACCACCTTCAAATGATTCTGGACTTGTCTTTGATTCAATACCATCATGTCATGTTGAAACCAATCAGGCTGTCGCCGCCGCCGCAGCCACAGCCACCGCCACCGCCATGACCGGCAAGAAGCGGAAGAAGGTGAGTAAATTACCATCAGAATCTCAACATGATGATAAGAATGATCAGAAAGCTGCTTTAGAGAAGAAACTACGGTATCGGGTTCTTCATAGAGACATGGAGCGTCAAAGGAGGAAAGAAATGGCTGATCTTTATGCTTCTCTCAGGAAATTACTCCCTCCTGAATGTTTAAAGGTTAGTATACATTTAGTAGAGTTATTTATCATGTTTTATTCAATTTATGTTTTTACATGATTAAAAGAAAAAACAAATACAAACAATCAGTTTAGTAGAACATGTCAAAGCTAAGACTGTGAAACGTGACTCTATGATTTGGGGACCAAAAAAAAGGGTTTAGGAAATAGGGCTAAATTTTATGCTACCATTGGATTTCTTCTTTAGTTTGGAGATGAATTCTCTCTATTTGATTAGCTTGACAAAATCATTGCAAGATGGTTAACTAAGAGTACCAAATAATTAAGATGGTAATTGATTAGTTAAAGATGTATGTGCTTTGACTGAAATTTTTTGTTTCCTGGAGGGACAGCGCAGTATTGTGGATCAACTACATCAGGTTGCAAACTATATCAAACACAAAAAAGAGGAGATTAAGGAACTTGAACTTAATAGAAATAAGATCAGAAACTCGTTTGGTAATAAAGGGAAAGGCGTCCAAGTTAACAATGTTCTTGCAAGAAGATTGTGGTCCAAGGTTGACTTCACGGTCAGATCTTGCTCGGCCGGTGGAATTGAGATTCTGATTAACGGCAATTCATCAGAAGATGGAAATTGTTTTCCCCTATCGAGGGTGCTGAATGTTCTGCGCGACGAAGGTTTGAATGTTGTCAACTGCATGAACACCAAAGTTCATGAAAATTTCCATTGCAGAATCCATACTGAAGATCGAGAGGTATTTACCCTAAAAAAAAGAAAAAGGGATCATTCTTTGTATTTGCATGTGTTATGAATGCTTATAATTAAGGTTTGCTTTGATTGTTGTTTCAGGGAGCCAGTCAAATGAATGATACGGATCTATGTTCCCTGCAAAGTAAGCTTGATAAAGAAGTACTTGCTTGGAAGAGTTTGAGTCCTAGCTAGCACATATATATGTATGCACTTCATTAGTTACGACGAATTAATTTTCGTTATATTCCTTCCGTCTCAAAACAACAGTTGAGACAATTATTTTGAAATAGAAGGAATATTATGCAGAACCTAGTGATACATACATCTATATGGCTTCAGGTTGCTATCATATGGTATCATGAATTTAGCATCTCCTGCTAGTTTTAATACAATGTTTTCATTTTGGTGAAGTCCAAGGAAATGATTAGGGTTGGGCACCCTTTTCACAAATCTGGAAAGCGAAGTACTCCTTTTGTCTCAAATAGTTTGAACTTTTATTTTTAGTTCATGTATATCAAAAATAAAAAATTAAATTAGACAATAATTTTAGGATCGAGAGAGTAAATAATTTGTATCATTGGTAAATTTGGAATAATGATTTTGTCTTTTTTCTTAGCAGCTTTTATTTTCTGTTCCAAATGAATAGGAATAGGGTTTATCTTGTCTATCCTTGAACTGATTCACCACCAGTCCGTCAATCACCATCTATCTGTTGAGCACCGAATTGGGAGTTCACCTTTTTTTTTTTTTTTCTATTTTTACTGTTATAACGACAGTTTAGCTGCCTCTCATGTTCTACATTATATTTTGTTTGTCATGAATTTATTTACTCCTCCTTTCTAATTGTCTTATTTAATTAATATAACAAATAAGATTTTCTTTATGTGCTAAAAATTGTCCATGTTGGCTTTTGATATCTTTACTAACAATTGAATAGTTACAAAATTTAATATACTGTATATTATTTGTTTGAGACTGAATAATATTATTTGTTCAGTGGGTAAAACAGAAATGAAGGGACAATACAGGGAGAATGAGTTTCTAGAATTGAATTAGTTAAAGGCTGTTAGATGTCATTTAGTCATTCTTTTATCCTTTCGATTTAACCTTTCTAAAATATTTTAATTACCAGAAATTACCTAGCCATGCATCCATCAATGGAAAGTACTATAAATGTATTTTTCCCCCTTTGTCACACTGCCCAACCTGGCTTTTGCCTTTCGGTTTCTTCGATATTTCAATTGCTGGAAACTATTCTTAACAACTGATTACAAGCAAAAGGTCCACAATGTAATGAATGGGGTTCATAAGGCATGAGTCTAAGGCTACTAATTCAATGTATTTTCAGTTATGTGATCTTATGTTAAACACTTCAAAAATAATATCCAGATTAATATGGTAACATTAGTCTCATTTCGGTGCTCAACAGATAATACGGTGACTGTAATTTACATAAGTTATGTGCACTTTATCTTCTTTTCTTTTTCTTTTTCTTTTTTTTTAATTTTTAGAAAGTCTAAACATGCTCAACTGTAACATTATTTAAATTTTACCGAATGTCCAAAACTGAATTGTTCGCACTTTATCTAACTATACTTATTTTAGAAAAGAGAATAATAATTTAGTCATTTGTACCTTGCTAAGATATATATAAAGTGGTCAATTAGTAAAACTTCGGAGGAAAACTGAATTGTTTTAGCTTAGACATGAAGGGTGGCGCATCGATAGCAATGAATGACAAATTACGTACATTCAGTTGTTATACATTTCATCCATCTAATTGTAGGCGCTTTTTCGTGAAACTAAGATAGTATTTCTCCATCTAAAAATTATTGTCCAGTTTGAAATTTCCCTTTTAGTACAATTTGAACTAAAAATAAAAATCCAAACTGAACAATAATTATGGGACGGAGGGAGTATAATAAACTTTTTTATGAAAATTTTTTCAAAGCTATTAAAAATGGAACGAAGAGATGATGAATTAAATAAAGATTTTTTTTATTTTTATTTTATTTTTTTGCAATTAATTGGCTTTGGACGATCATGCATGATGCATCTTGGACCGGTGACAATCAATGCTACTACAAGATTGTAAACCCGAGTCAATTAGTAAAATGCAAGTGTTACATCCATGATTGAAACCGAGGAATTATTTAACTAAGGTAACAAACTTAATTGCTTTCGATCTAACCAGCTCCAATAATTTGAAAATGGAAGAACATCAGAATCATTAATTAGTTAACGTACCAAATAAAATGCACTTACTACTATTCAAGTTTAAAAAACAAAAAGAAGGAAAGAAAGAAAAAACAACTTGGTCTTTGTCACCAACATAAAAGATATAAAATCGCGCATAAATAAAGCTTCGCAAACTCAATCGGGAACATGTTCTTCGGAATCAAATTTTGTTGGAAGTGTTGACTTCAACCGCCACTTAGTTTTGAAGTTTCCTTCTTTTCAACTGGTGACAATCCACCTCAAAATCAGCATCACCGTAAAGACAAGGATTTTCCTTAGCATCATCATCAACATCATCAACATGTTCTACACCCTCCTTCCATTTTCTTCTCTCTTCGTCAAGCTTTTGTGTTAGATCCTTGATCTGTCGGTCGTATTCTTTCAAGCTATTGATAGCTCCATCGATGATCGACATCTTATCCGACTGTACATATACATATGGGTGGAAACACATCTTAAAATTAAAAATACGGACCAAGATATAATTAGTATTCAAACACAATCGGAAATCTAGATCTCGATTCTAGGCATTTTCCACTCTCTTGAGATAAAATAGATAAAAGTTTTGTTTTCATCATTCCACGTTAGACAAATTTTATCCTGAGAGTGAAAATTCAAACTGAACAATTATTTCGAAACATATTAGGTATTTATTTTCACATTCATTGGTGGTGCTTGAGCTCTTTTATTAATCTAGAAGAAGATAGAGATGAAAGAAAAACACACAAACAAAAGAGAGAGAGAGAGAGAAAGAGAGTATATATTAATATAACAAAAGTGGGAGCATATTTTTGTGGGTACTAAGTACTTACCTTTTTTAGGCCAGGAATCAAGTCTGACAAATCCTTAAATCGCTTCAACAGCTTTTCTCGCCTCTTTCTTTCTGCTATAACATGAGATTTGGCTTGTAATGGCGTCCTGGTAATTTTCTTAACAGGCATTAATGGACTATCATTCATGAGTGTACCAAAGTTACACTGATCATCATCATCCCATAGTTGCAGTTCTTCCGTGGAAGAAGATGAAGAAGAACTGCTGCTGCTGCTTCCGGAGAAATCCATATTCTTAAATGAAATCATCTTTGCCGCTTCTTTCTTATCACAGCATCATTGATTTTTTCCTTTATTCCATTGGTTAAGTTCCTGCTTGATGATGATGATGATGATGATGATGAGCTCCCAAAAGATATCAACTGGGAAGGTGTCGATGAAGTTGGTGAAGTGGGATTTTCCAAATAAAATTGTTCTCTGATTTCCAGATTTGGTGAAAGTCAAAGTAACCTTAAAAGGGGCAGTTTCTTCAGATGAAGGTATATCAGCAGGGTTGGAAAAGGAACAAGGTAATAACTGATTTGTTGTTGGTTGATCCATAGAGTTGCTGTAGTTCTTCTCCAAATCAGTTTGAATAAAGTTCATCAAATCATCATCCTCCAGCATTGAATCCTGACCAAATTTATAATAGTAGACAATCAATATTATCAATCAAACTGTTCTTAGGTAATCAAGGGCTCGATTATCTGAAATGGCTGACCAGTTCGGATTTTCAGTTTTAGTTCAGATTGTACCAAAAAGTAAAAATCCAAACTGGATTATCTTTTTCAGATAAGCGGAGTATTATGTATTTACAATGAGCTAGGAGAGGAAAAAAAAAACAAAAAACCAAAGCCAAAACCTCTCTCTAATTAAAGATTTAAAGTAACAAAACCAAAACACTTCTCAGAAATTGAGAAATTGTGATGGATCTTACCAGAGAGAATGGAGACCATGTTTCTTGCAAGGAATCCATATGCATATATAACTCTGATCTATTCGTACCTGAAAGAAGAAGAAGATCAGTACCATGATCCCAACTAATCTCCATCTAGAAACTTCCAAAACAATTAATATCTATTAGACATTCTTTCACAAGTATGAAATAAATCGGCCTTCTAGAAGAACTTCGTTATCAATTGAAGATGTTGTATCATTTTTAGATACTCCTATTTAACTCAACCCCATTGCAAAGAATCAAATCAAGCTTTTGAAGAGCTAGCTAAGCATCACATATATACAACAAACCCCCAAGGAAAAAAAAGAAAGTCAAAACTGAGTTCATAGTTGGAAAAATTCTTCACGAAACACATCCATGGGTGCGCAGATTTTGTTACTTACCTCCAAGCTTATTTATGGAGAGAAGAGAAAGAGCCCACTACCCTGAGATTTTCCGCAAGCACTTTTGTTTTCTGGAAACTCTTGATGCAAAAAGGGTTTCTGCTTTGATTTATACGTAATTTTTGGCCTCCATGTTTATAACCCCTGCAGAGAGAAAAAGAGAGATGAATTGGACGTGAACGGTGATGGTCAACGGAGTGGTCCTTCTCATATGACGATGGAGACAAATATTATTGTTGCTCTAAATTTCACACATGTTGAATTAATCAGATCTTTTTCCCAGCTGTAGCAGCACCAACAATTGGAAGAAAGACTTTTTATTTTTGGTGTTTATTGAAATATTTTCACACTCTAAGCCCTCCGAGTTTAGGAGTTTAATCATTTTAATCTTCCACTTTATTTAGTTCTAAATAACAAGATAAATTTATTCACATTTATTCACGAGTAATAACATCCTTATCATATTTCATATTTCAAATTATATCAATTATATCAGCACCGATTGATAATCTTTTATATTGTTCATGATATGACTCAAGCGTAACATCTTCAAAAACCTTTAAAAACATTAATTCGTTGAATGCTTACCAGAAGAATATATATATAGTGGGTATATACAGGATTACTAAATAAATTTAGCCCCTTTTCCCTAATATTATAGTCATAGGGTGCTGTGGTAGCAAATAGTACTAAACTTTTATAGTACTCCCTCCATTCCAAAATAAGTATCGTCCTACACTTTACACATAGTTTAAGAAACTCTTAAATAGGGTAATAAAATTACTTGAATATCATCAACCAATCCCATTATAAAATTGTCCACCAATAGCATTAACTCTTTTGAGGGTAATTTTAAAAACTTTTGACAAAAAGTGTATTGAAATGTGAGAACGACACTTATTTTAGAATTTTTCTATTTTGCTAAAAAGACACTTATTTTGGAATAGAGGGAATATTATAGAAAGAAAAAGAAAATATTGGACAGCAGATCTCAGTTAAGACAACAAAATCCTCGTACACTACTTGTACTTGATATTAATATTTTGCACGATGGGCTGATGAAATGATCTGAATTGATTTCCCTGTGATTGAGTTGGTCAGACTCCTCATGAATCTCGTGGTTCCCTAATTCCCTTCTCCCAACAATTTCTTCTCTCTTAATCCAACGTGGACGTCGTCCTGTCATCCCCAACTAAACCGGACTTAACTCTTTCTTTAATCAACAATGACAGCCACTAAATCACTAAAATAACCAACCCACTTGCCCCTACGTTTTTCTACATTCATATAAATATATATATATATATATATATATATATATATATACTTGTTCCTTGTTTTAAGGATCATTTTGGACGAAATGAGTGTATAATACTCCCCGTCCTAAAAACAATAGTTCACTTTCAAAATGTATAACTTTTTTGATTTAATCAACCTCAATAAAGTACAACACTTTTAATCCTTCAAACTTCTAATAACATCCTTGCCATCCAAAAGCTACTAATTCTTTTCCCTTTTCCCCTTTCGCTGGAAAACATAAAACTGCAATTTTTTTTCCCTTTTCCCCTATTATCGAAAAACACAATTGTGGTTAGGCTACGAAGAATGTGACTACAGCCAATATAATGTTCCAATCCAATTCTTTGTGCAACCTTTCCTTGCTGTTTGGCATCTCCCGTAAGCGATGGGATTCCAAAATTCACGTACCGATTTCATTAAAGATCTATGAATCAAATTCTAATCGGTCACAATAAACAAAGAAAAATACTCAATCAAACGGGATTTAGATTAAAAATAAATTAAAAAAACTCTAATTGAAATTGCCTTTCTGAAGTCCAATAAATCAACTCGAGAAACTGCAACGCTAACTGAATTCATCACTCGAATCCAGCCATAGATCTCAGTCGATCTTCAATAGAGAAAAAAGAACTGTAGTAACCACCGTAACGTTGAAGACACAGATCGATCGGCTGACGGCGAGAAGATAGGATCATCGAAGGCAGAGAAGAAGGAGGAACGCTATACATCACTCGAATCAAGCCATAGATCTCAGTCGATCTTCAATGGGGAAAATAGAAACGTAGTAACTGTTGGAAACGTTGAAGGGACAGATTGATTGCTGACGGCGAGAAGATAGCATCATCGAAGGTAGAGAAGAAGGAAGAACTCTACTGACGGCAATTTCACGGGAAAGTTTGGGGCGCCCTAACTTTTATTTGTCATGAGGATATAGAAGTAATTTAACTTGAATTAATTTTGACTTTTATGAAACTGGATTATTTTTTGGGATAAGATTTTTTATCAAATTGGACTATTTTTGTGGGATGGAGGGAATATATGTTATTGGTACAATCTTGATCTGATCTCTTTCAGGTTTCTGCACAAAGCAATTTTGTAGTCGAAAGATTTCGAAATTCTTTAAAATATGTATATATATATATATATATATATATATAGAATAAAGCTCCATTTGTGGACACCGACACTCAAAATGGTGGAACCGCCGTGCGCTCGCTCATTTCTAAACTACACGACCTTTTGTATCAATTCGCCTCTTATTTATTACAAGCACTAAAGCCCAATATAATGCGAAATGAGTTTTCCCCCCAACTTTAGAGCTTAGAAAGGCCAGAGACATGGGTATCGGCCCATAAACCTCGTGGCTCTAACCAAGAAATCCCAGTAAGACTAGCTCACGAATCTCCCATGCATGGACTTTAGAGTTTATACACCTCAGTCTCTTTTTTTTTTTTTTTTCTTCTGTTTTAATTAGCAAAAATATAAGTTAAAAAAATAAGACAGTGAAATTTTAACAGAATATGATGTTCCATCTGTCATCTTCAAGTTTGAAGGATTGTATTGAAATTGAATCATAATAATAAACATAAGAAAAAATAAATTCGCTGCATATATTGCACACATACATATTCCGACAAGTTGTTCCATTAAGGAAATAACTAATGGAAAAGGGAAAAAAAAGTTGTTCCATTAAGGAAATAAGTAATGGAAAAGAAAAAAAAAAATCAAATGATACTCTCTCCCGTTCTAAAATTATTGTCCAGTTTGAGTTTTCATTTCTAATACAAATTATACTAAAAATAAAAATTAAACTGGACAATAATTGTGGGACAGAGAGAGTATTAGAATTTGATAGTTACTACACTACATGTATGTTTCCGCCTTGGAGTTGGCTATCTTGTATTAAAATTGAAAGCAAAACTACCAAAAAGGGAACATATCTTACCACAACCATAATCTCTCTGCTGTACTTAAATCACTTGGATCAAGCGTAATCTGCTGTACTTAAATCCCTTTGATCACCTTGAAGTTCAAACCAGAATTATTTTGTTTCGGCCCTTAAGTGTTTATTTGTAATATTTTGACATAAACTATCTAAGATGCATTAGTAATCTGGTTGCACCAGGTGTTAATGGCATTATTTGACGTAGGCCCAAGTTCGAGGCTGAATAGTGAATAGAATTGGAGAACAGCCCGCCAAATAGACATTTCAACTATACACCAAGATATTTACTCATATGCTTCGGACCGAAATCGGTTAAGGATCTCTACTGATTGATACTATTTCAAGTATTTCCTAAATTACTAACCTCTCCATCACCAAAAAATAGTTTTTGACATATATTTATTTAGATGTTATTCCGTATGTTCTCGAAAAATTGTCTACATGGAACTTTGTATTATAATTAAGAAGATACCTGAATTTTTAATTACTAAGCTGAGTATGCAGGATAGTAATGCACTGATGCTTACATGTTGCTAGGAAACTTGAATTTAGATGGAGACTGAGCTTCAATAACTGTGATACTAGTTGACATAGGTTAGGATATCCTAAATGGTCGGAGAACAACATAGTCAAACTAAGAACGGAAGAACCCTCCCAGCAAAACCAACTCATAAAGGAATTAAACATAGTTTATGGAAATGAGCCAAAGTAATTCAATAAGATTTAGAGCTTATGCCGAAAATGTAAGATTGTGGGCAACCACCAAAGGACATTGTTCAAGAGTTCGCCACGGATTTTGATCTATATCAAATTTCGGACAATTGTAAGCCTTGATGATCATTACACACATTTTTTCTTTTGTTTTGTTTTGTTTTTTTTTTAATTTATTTTTGAACTTGGTAACCACATCTAAATGGGCTCATCAGCTCATATTGAGCATTCATCTAACAAATTGTGCCGACGATGTTAGAATCTCAACAGAATTGTCGTATGATGAATGATCAATGATGTATTTCAATTTAGAATTTCTTTGATCGACTTGATCGACCACATAAATATTTTGAGTTCGCATTTGGTTTTCTCCAAAAGGGTTTCGGATTAATTGTAGTTGCATTGAGGCTACATATGCCACGGCTGCAGAGTGAAATTCCGCATTATGTTATCTCTTTTTTTTGTTTTATACTCTTTTCATCTTATCTCATTGTCTAAGGTAGTAAGTTAAATTGTCGAAAGGAATCAGAAAATGGAGTTGGTGTCCGGGGGCTATTGCTGCTTAGTTTCCTTTTCCTGTAGGTGCATAAATTGCACTTTTCTAGTGTCAAAAAAAAATATTTTCCATTCTTCTACTATATCTTATTTTCATAATATAAGTCCAATTTCTATTTTTGGTTTTGTTAAAATATAAGTGCACTTTGTATCTCAATACTTAATTTCCTTTATTTTGTCCAAATTACCCTTATCTTTATAATTATACTTGTAGAATACCAATGTATACAACCGATTTATTTGAGGTATGATTAAAATATGGATATAAGATATTGGAAAAATGGTTGTTAATAAGTTTATCTTATTAATTAGAGATAAAATAGAACTTTTATATCTACTAATCATAAGTCTTTATTCTCGTGCCACTTAATTAAAGTGGATTTATATTTTGAAAATGAGGTAGTATTATAGAATGTACCATGAGGGTACGGAGTTTACAGTGTAACCTGATGTGCGTGATAGTGTATAGGGAAAATATTGTACATTCTAATTCAACAATCTATGCAGGTCAATCTTGACCTTGATGTGCGTGATAGTATATAGGTCTAGCCTGTGTCAATCCTGGTTTTCAATAACCTGATCACTATAGTATGATCCTGCAATCATACATTGTTCCACAATCATGAACTGGACACCGTATCGCAGGCTAATTATATCGATCCTTTATTGCATCAATATCCTGAATCGATGACCTTCTAGCAACAAAATGTCGATTGGACATAACTGCATCTAGAAATCATAGAATATCTTTAATCTTTTTTTTAGACCAATTTCATGAAGCTGACGGGAACTCACTTCAAAAGTTGGTTTGTAAGGGGACATATCTAATATCATATCAACCACACACATTGACTCCTGTTCCACCACGCAAGGCTCAAGTAACTCTAATTACAACTTATTCATTACAACCCCTTATTAGCCACTCTTTCCTACAATCAGTAGTCTTTAAGTTCTGAATCTAGTGTTCTAGAATTAATTGATATATCGATGAGAACAGTTGATCAAACATTCATTCATTGTTATTATTGTATTGTGAATAGTTCGTGTTGCGAAGTAGACAATGTATTTGCCAATTATTACAATGATACAAGATTGATATAACCAAATTTGTAAACTTTGATGATCTTATCAATTTAACGGAATGGTAACATTTTGACTAATTAGTGAGCCTAGCTAGTTCGTTACTACCCCAATTTTTTTCCCGATTTTCTAAACGGTGATTTTCAAAAAAAAAAAAGAAAAAAAAACGGTGATTGTGTTTTCTTTAACATTTTGGGACAATTTTTAAATTACAACCAAGAGTTTTAACCTTCCAACCCTATGAGAAGGAAACAGAAAAGAACAAAGGAACAAAGCAAAAGCATTCATGCATTATAAGTACAACTAAAAGAATTACTGGACAGAGAATCATTGCCATAAAAAATCTACAAAAGAACGACAATAATAGTGAGATAATACAATGAAATAGACAAAAAGGCTAAAGAAGAAAACTAAATACGCAAATATACAACAAACTTGTACATTTGCAAAAAGATTTAGGATAAGATAACAATAAAAAAAAGGGTCCGATTTGCCCCGCTAATTCACTACTCAATCACTCTGCCACGATGTCAATTTGTGATTCCTCTTTTTTTTTTTTTTAAAGATACATGCAATGCACACGCCCTCGAGTTTTACTTATAATTAACCTACAATTCTAAACTAAATTTTATCTTTTTAATCGTATCTTATAAATGAAACTGGAAGAAGTACATGCGTTGGTATATATAAACAACTTTTATGCTGGTACAATCGTCTCATTTAGAATGTTTGAGGTATATCGAATACTCCACTTTGTTACGCGAGAGTAAAATGTCATCTCTATAAATTTTCTTCGATGTGAAAGATTAAATCTTTTTTGATTGATTGAGCCCATTTAATTTAATACTAATTAATTGACAGAATTCAATGAATGCCCTAGGAGAAGAAACTAGCAAAAACCCTCAGGCAGTAATAGCGGTAACTAAAACTTCTGTCTGTTTTTTCCACGTTTGTTGGAGTTTTCTCCTTCAATATTGGAGATAGTTGACCTCACTTTTTCTAATTTATTTTTTGTTTAAAGAAGGGAATGAGGTGGCGTGGTTGAATTTTCACTTGGGTTTGGTAAAACGTATGCATTTTTTTTCTATTATTATTGCATTACATCATTTGATTGATTAGCATGAGTTGACCTTCATGACTCATTAACGACCATCTGGGAGAAAAGAAACCAATTTCATTTAAGAAATGAGAAGCTAGGTAGTTGAGATGTACATGTCATTCCACTTCATCAATTTCCATAAAACGAGACCAGAGGTGTATAGAAAGTAATCAACCGAGAGTACCTCATCTATTATGAGGGAGTTGATGAGGCGATAGAATTCTTTTTTTTTTTTTTATGTATTTAGAATGAACGGTTCATTTATAATTATTCTTTTATTTATATGGTTAGAGAAACGATTATAATCATAAGTTACTGGGCATTATTCCCAGTTGGTATAACTAATTAATTATAAAATCATACATCTTATAATTTATTTTTAAAACAGCATGCCTAGCCCCCCAAAATATATCTTAATATTGATGAATAAGTATTGTATTTAGAGGGAGGAAAAGAAACCAACTAATCAACGAGCTAATTTTAACCGGCCATTCCTAAGTTTGAGTAGAAATCTGTCATTGCGGTGGCTCAAATCTTGTTCTTCGATCAAATGGCAAATTAAATTCCCAAACTAATGCTCCTTCCATTTCCATTGATCTATAAAATATGTTTGTGTAATGTATTAAATCAACAAAACCGAATCTTAAAAAGCGAGGAAAGGAGTAGTAAATAAATCAAAATGGAGCGGGAGATATGTACAAGATGGCCGTGGGTGAAAGTATAATGTTACACATCTGGATTTTAGTTTGTTGGGGAGTCATCAACTTCTGAGCTAGCTAGGGGACCATTAATTGGAATGTAGTTTTCAAAGTAATGTATAATAAAATGAAGGTATTTATTAACAGGAAATAATAGTTGGTCACGAAAATGAGATTGGTACTACCCCAATCAACTTCAATATTCCTGTTGTGTGTGTCTCAGTCTCGATCTATTATAAATAGAGCCGGACCATGCCTACACAAAATGCAAGGACAAATTGAAGTAATTTGTTCTCTATTTCTTCTTCTATCAGTTCAAAACTTCTTGCAATTAATTACGAACTTTGTTGTTAACAATGGCGAAGTTCTCCACAGCCGCCGTCGCAGTGTTTGGTAAGTCTCTTTCGTTGGTCTATTAAAACCCTATCTTTTTGTTCATGGTCTATATTTATGTACAACACTCACTCTATTAATTTCATATGAACTTTTTAAATTCAAAGTTTTTGAACGGTGTTTAACATGTTGAGAGATTAAAGTACGCAAGTAACATGCATACACGTTTCATCACTCAATACTTACGTGTTGCGGAAAAGAAATTGAAAGTGAAGATGGACCTCATCTTATTCTAAGATTTGAAATGAATATCAATACATAAGACTAATATCTTTTCTGGATGGATGGGGTGATGCAGTTGTTGTGGTGCTTGCTATTTCGGGAATGACCCCAACGATGGCGAGGGTTTTGACTTCCGAAAGTGAGAGCCAAATGGCAAGGAGGCAGCTGGGGCCCCTCTTTGGCGGCCTCTTGGGCAACTTCTTCAACATCAATGTTCCCAATATTCGAGCTGGGGCTACTGCTGGCGCTAATGCTGGCGGAACAGCCTCAGGCACCGCTAGCGCTAATGCTGGCGCCAACGCTAATGCTGGCGCTGGCGGCACCTTTAATGCTAATGCCGGTGCTGGTGGCGTTGGCATTAATGCTCAGATCGGCGCTAACGCTGGCGCTGGCCTTAATGCTGGCGCTACGGTCACAGGTACCGCTACGGGTAACGCCGGGGTTAATGCCGGTGCCAACTTCAGTTTGGGCTAAAAGGCTGACGGCTGGTGTTTCTAGGGTGGCGCTGAAGTAGTAGTACTACGTGCTACAATTGCTTTCAAAAAGGGTTCGATAAAGGAGTGTGAAGAAGCCTTGATTCCCATAAGTCTTTGTTTGTGTCTGCATTAGTGTTAATGAGGGAGAGAGTACTGGATTTCAGTTCGGTGCAATATCTCGCGTCCCGTGTGCAACCAGTTTCTTTTTTCTTTTTTTTTTTCCCATATATGTGTCTATTCTCTCTGTCAAACTTGTAATTTGCATGTCTTTGTTTTGTTCTTTTTCAAAAGAAACCCTTAAGAAATGGCAGATACATAATTTTTGTTACAATTTTTGTTACATAATTTTTCAAGTTTGTCTCAAACAAACCCTTAGATTGTTAGAAATGGTAGATACATAATTTTTGTTTGCTTTAATTAATATATTTCCACTATTTACTTAAAAATAACTTTTCTTCTAAAATTTTTTAAATTTAATCAAACCTAATTGTACCCAAATTTAGTGAGACAATGGTCCATTTGACCCAAAGCTTCAACTCCCTGACCAATTTAACTCAAAAGAATTCTTAGAAGCCAATTTCATCCGCATCACTTTCTGGCCAATTTAGTCCAATTCCATTAATTTATTAATAAAATAATACAATGTAATAATTAAAACTCCCCTATATTTTGAAAAAATACAAAAATAACTCAAAAATTTATAAATTAACAAAATCACCTCTTTTTTTTCTTTTAAATTTTTCTTAGAGCCATTAAAATATACTATATGATTTTTAATGGCAAGTGTATTTTATACTCTATTATGAAAATAACTTCGAGCACATTTCTAACTCCTACTTTTATTTATATAAAGAAAGTCATATTTATTTTTTTATATAGTTTAGCATTAATAATAATAAAATTTATTTTAACGAAAAAATCAAAACATAATATCCATATGTCACAAGAGATGTGCAATTGAGACATTCCTTTATTGCTACACATAAGGAAACTTTGTTAAGACATTTTAAAAGATATGTCACAATAGAATATCATGTTAAGACTTAAGACACTCATCAAATTTATAAGTTAAGTAACTATTAGATAAAATGTATCTCTAAATATTTATCAAGAAAATGTAAAACTAATATATAAAAATTCATTAGTGAATTATAAATAATTTAGGTTATCAAAAATTGAAAGCCCATAAAAACAATATACACTATATACACTATACGAAAATACACTTCAAATGAAGATAAACGAAATAAACTAAAAAATTGCGGGAACGAACAGCCCACGCAACAAATTTTCTTCATTTTTTGCAGTAATTTTTTTGAAATCACAAATTCACTTGTATGCTAAACATATATGGGCAAATTGATGACCATCACATACATTTCCGCAATCTACAACCAAAATACCCAAATCCATTAGGTTCGGAGCTTGCAGTGTGCGGGAGGTATATATATTTTCCTTCCCGAAATTTTTCACCCTCCGGTTTCAATGAGAACTTTTATAAGATATCACTATTTGATATCTGATCAAGAGTGATAATAGATAAAAATCTGATATATTTGTGGGAACTATACTGATGTGATTGGCCCTGTACAGAGGTAAGAAGAAGATGTAACTTGGCCACCTATTTATGCAGTTTTGCATGAATTAATAGAATATATTCTTCTTATTAATTTTACAAATAATTGAGAACGAGAGACATCTCGCCGGCCATTGGTTTACTTGTAGATAAAATAAGTAGAATAAACTTATCTCTAATGGAAAATTAAACTGCATGCATAAGCATAAATGGATCTATGTCGGGTATGGGAGATAGTGAAACGCCTAGAAACATAGTAACCCCTCAAAATTGGATTCGCATTTAGCAGAATAAATTGTTGTTTTTGGCGATTTTTTATGCATCCACGCCAGCATTTTCCTTCTTGTCAATTGTTAATGTTCCAATTTTGTGTCTTCTTCTCCCAAGTTGGAAAAGAAAAACACAAAAAAAAAAAAAGAGAAAGAAGAAAATATTGACCGCGTGCGGTAAAATGAAGAAAGTGGTCAGCATATTCACAACGAAAGAGACTTATTTGATAGCATGATATTAGTAGTTTAGTAAATATAGAAAATAATGTCAAATGAAGCACCCACCATGGCCTTATTTCGACATTTTCAATACTCTCCCATCAAGATTTTGATCATTAATTATACTCCTTCGCCCCTATTAACTATAAAGAAATATCTCCCTTCAAGAAAAATAATTCACATTAAATTTTAATATTTGTACAAAATAGAATAAATCTCAAAATTGAATTTAAACTTTCTTTTTAGGCCGAAAGAGTATGTTTTACCGAAAGAGGTAGTGAATTCTATAATGATCCTCGGATTTTTCTTTTTTGGAGGTAAAGTCCTTGGAGTTGGAGTTCGCTTGTTCTTCCAATCAACTCCTTCTGTGAAGCTCACTAATTATCTTTTTTTATAAAAATAAAAAATGTAAGGAAGAATATGTGAAATTGCGAATTTTATACATAGTACAATGAATTGAACATATAGGCTCGTCTTTTGTTCTTAATTTATACATGGCACTGTGGCCGCATAAAGAATGGAGCTAATGGGAGAGGATTGGAATAATCATAATGATTCTGTCACTATGGATAGACTTTATTTTAAGAATAAATTAGAAAAAGAAGTTAAATAAATGTAGGAGGAGTAAAAAAAAAAAAATAATAGTAATTAAATAAAGAATATAATGTGGACTGTTGGATTGTGAAATTGCTTCAGGCATCTGAGGGAGCAATCCAATGCCTTCCATTGACAAAACTCTTCTTCAGAAATGGATGGGCCACCTCGTACTCCAGTTCTCTGGCCCATGAAACTCCATGAACTGCTGCTGCTCCTGGACCCCAACATTGGTATGATCCAAAGAAAGCAGTTCTAAAAAAAAAAAAAAAAACAATTGATTCATGAATTAATTTCAGAAGAATCCAAATAACCAAAAAAAAAAAAAGGAGTAATAAGCAAATAACTCCGCCCAAAAAAAAAAAAAAAGAAGCAGATTGCAATAACTGAACTGTAAGTTGTTCTTGCTCAACACTCTGTACTTGTACCTCTTTATTTTTGGCTTTTGAACAAAATAAGGGGGAAAGAAACTCAAAAGTAATTAATTTCTTTGAAGATGAAGTGGCTTACTTGTTCTTGTTGCTAATATGATCCCAATCATCCCACCCACCATGAGCAACAATATCCTCAAAATGGGTGAAGGAGTAGACAATCCTGGAATATTGACCCATTGCACGGCCTACATAAACTGGGCCTGAACCTGTCACCCTGCAGTTTACGAAAGCAAATCCAGTCTTCTCGTCTGGTGACTTCCTACCGTGGGCCGCAATCGATCCAAATTCAGTCGCTATTGAGTGTAGCTCACAGTCCTTCATGATGATGATGATGAACAATGAAACAAAAAATTTTTAATACTCCTTCGATCAGGAACAAAAAAAAAAAAAAAGAAAGAAATTTTTATACTCCCATTTCCTCTTACAGTTTTTAAGATTTTTCTTCCATTTCCTCAGTATGCAAAAAAAGAGTTTAGTTTATTATACCATTTTAGTTTAATAAAATGAATTATTTTTCTAAGGCGAAATAAAATATTATTTTTACTATAATAACAGGTTACGAGACGTACTTTGTACATGGAGCGGCCATTGCCGAAGATGAAGTCGATGGAGCCTTGGATGTAACAGTCCTTGAAATAATGGCGTCCGGCGTCGTCGCAAAGCGTGTCTTGTGCACCGTAAAATCCACATCCGGCGAAGTAGGCTTTGTCACCGGATATCCTAAACGCAACTGCTTGCCAACCTTGCATTCCGGGCATTGGTGCTGGTGCTGTGTTCTAGTATTATATTTTCACAATATCAAAGTCAATTTCCATCTATCACAATTATTCTAGAGTAGCGGATACAAAGTAATTCCGGAGATGCCGAATAGTGTAACATTGTACTTATTAGCAAAAAAAATCACATTATAACACTCTAGATTACTAAAAGATGTTGTTAAGATACATAAAGACATGATTTTCAAGGTACCTTGAAACTAATGTTACGGGCTGAGAAATAGTTTGCAAAAACGGAGACAGAAGCGGTATGGTAAGTACGAAGCTGTTGACCGTCAGGACCACGGTCACTTGCCCGGTCATGCCACTCGATCACCGTCACATCTCTTCCGGCTCCTTGAAATGTTATGTATGGTTTCCTCGTCGGCACCACCACTTTTTCTCTGCACCACCACCAACCCACTCACATACTTCATTATTTATGTATTGATAAGGAAATTTTTTTATATTAAAAAAAAATTAAACAAATTAAGTATAGTATAAATTAACTAGCTCGCTATAGTAAAGTTTCGATTTGATTAACATGCTTCCCACATTCTTATCTTGTACCAAATCTCGATATTTTCAAGTGAGGATTATCAAAAAGCGCACAAAAGATAAACAGTTTAAAGTTTGATTAATGCCTTGTTTAATTGTGGGAAAAATTAGGAGTACGCACTATAGTTTGCAAAGGTATAATAGAAGTTCAAAGACACATTTCAAAAAGGGTCAAACGTTATACAGGAAATCTTTCACATCATGCATGCATGAGATTATTTCAGAAGCCAAATATACTGTTCATTCACGAGAAAGTGAGGGGAAAAAATATTGAAATGAATGAGAGAAAGAATTCATTGGTATTACATGTAATAACCAGCATTTATCTGGATAAGCACATTCATCCGGTTGTTCACTTCGACGGAATCAACGGCCGCCTGCACTGACTTGAAGTCTCCGAACCCATTCACGTCGACGACGATGCGACGGTGGCCGGACGGCCCTATCCATCCGTGGTGCCCGTGTGTAGTAGTAATACTAGAATTGTATGACAATATTTGATCAGTTTCTTTGAGTTCTGCGCTTAGTTTATGCTGAAAACTGGATGAAGCACTTCCCAAAGATGGTACGTTAAATTCTAGTGGTAGCACAATAAGAATGTACAGGAAACATGTTAGGAAATGAGGGTTGAGAAATGTCATAATATAAAATATGGAAAAAAGAATAATTTGGGATCAGAGAGAATTGAAGGAATGTATATTTGTGAAGAGGGGAATTACGATTTTGTGAGTAAGAGAAAGATGAAAGATGATGAGCAATGGCGGAGGGAAAGAATTTATATGTATGAAGGTTTCTTCGGTTCATATTCCAACGGTCATATTTTCCCATATGATTCCCTCGCTTTCTGGAATTATTTTGTTGTCAAATTGTCTTCTAGCTAGGTTATATAGGCCAGCAAATTTCCTTTGAAGTCAAGTTATCAATGATAATAATAATAGTGATTAATCTAGATTTTATGTGTCATCTGTGTCAATGTAACGAAGTTTGTGAGCAAATATATAAAGTAGGAAAAATAGTTAAGAATCTTATTGGAGGATATGCTTATTAGTAATAATCCAAGAAATTTTCCGTAGTTTGCACTTCATGTTCAGCTATATTTTCGTTTCCTCTAATTTTATATGAACAAAATGTACTCCCTATGTCACAAAATAATTGTCCAGTTTAGATTTTTATTTCTAGTACAAATTATACTAAAAGTAAAAAAATTTAATTGGACAATAATTTTAGAACAGATGTAACATAAGATAAAAAATTGAATCTTTAATAAAACACATTAATAATATTGTATGCCTGACAGGCTCAAAAGAAAAAAGAAAAAAAAAATCATTGAGGTCAATTTGCATTTTGCAACAAATTCAATTAACATGATAGGTCATTTTCAGTTTTGTGTAAATGATGAATTGGGTTTATGGAAGTCTGTTTGTACGTTACTCGATCAGACAATAGTACCTGGAGAGTGCAGGCTAATGTATCTTACTGAACCTACCACGGGAATATTAAAAATAAATGCACTTCGATCTGTTCTTCGTTGTTTCTTTTTTTAACTTCCGTTCATCCTTAATATGACTGAGAGAAAATTACAGCTTCTAACTTAGAAATGCTTAACCTTTAACGTTAATAAAGATTGTGGTAATTTTATGTAGTCGCACACTAAACTTAGCAACTCGATATTGTTATACTTTCTTATTAACTTGTATTCATTTTATCCCAAAATTATTGTTCAGTTTGAGATGTCACTTTTAATACAATTTAAGCTAGAAATGAAAATTCAAACTGAACAATAATTATGGGACAGAAAGAGTAAATTTTACTTTTTTTAATCACTATTTACCGGTGGACGAGTTAAACTATATCCAATTTTTAATGCATTGCTTTTTTGTATCTGAAAGTCCGATCAAAACAGAAAAACGGTCAGTGGAATTTGATTCCGGAGTTTCACTTTCATTCATAATCGTGGTGGACTGCACGTAAGAGGATGATGGTCCTGTGATGGGTGAAAATGATTTTGTAATGTAGCCATTTTGCCTTTCATTCTGATGAGCGGTCCCGTTTTGAGGAGGCCCACTACTATAAAACTGTGTCTCTTTTGAAGTTTTCATACTCAAAAGTTTGGGTCCCTTAGATGGCTAGAGGTCAATGTTTATAAATCCGAACGTTGTAATTCTTTCTAGTACAAGCGAGAGGAGACAAACAACTATTATCATAGTACTCCATATTTTCTTCTTTTTCCTGATTTTATTTAATTTTTTGCAATGGACTTGAATGAGAAAGAAGTGGAGTTAGGCTATTTTTAACATTTGAATGAATTTTGTTGTGACGTTAGTTGGCAATTTTTAGTGATGGTCATTCTCTAACCAAGTTACTTGAGGCTCGAAAAATCACGCATTTACAACTAGTTTAGAGACTGTAAAAATTAATAGACGATGAATTTATTTATTTTTTATTTTATCTTCCTTTCATTTTCTTAAGCATTGAAAAGTTTGAAGTATTTCCTTTCTCTTAGTTCTTTCTGATAACTATTTATGATAATGTTCATCATTAAAGATTCAAAGTAAAATAAAACCGCACTCAGTCTATATCCAATTAATTTAAATTCGACCCTAATTTTATAACTCGTGGATATTCTTTCTTTTGATAATTCCAAAAGATAGGTAAACGATTGACTACGTTAGGGGTAGGAAGGCCACAAGGAAACTGTGACCTTTTTAAACTTTTGGATGGTGGGGGTGCACAAATCAGTCAAGCATCGACCTATCTAGATTATGGAGATATGCTATAATTCATCAATCATTAATTCCCTTTACAAATTCATCAAGAAAACATCATCATATCAAAAGTAAAGAAAAGGTAAATCTATTCTTCTAATCATGTAACCTAGCTAGTATATCCTGAACTCATTTTGAAAAGGAGGTTTTGAACACATAGAAACTGTCCCTAATTCCCCTTTCGCCTCACTTTGAAAGTCAAATTTCTTGTACAGTTATAGTTCAACAAAGTAGATTATTAAAGTGAGATAGAGGGGGTAAACTTTTTTGATGCAACAAATGTTTGATCATTTGGAAAGGACTAGCATCCAAGATAGTAAATGCCTGCATTTTTTTTTATCTTTCTCATACATCTTCATGTCAGGTTTATCGAAAGTGACTCCCATTTTAAAAACTTGTACCCTAAGGTACAATACCTCGTTAGATACACAATCCACACGACATTTCTGTTCAATTCCTCCAGGAACCTGCCAACACTTTCTGCTGATCTTTCTTCACCTGTAATGAGTTTAATGAGACGTTCAACATTGTTAATGCGTGCAATTGTATCCTTCAATCTCCCAATCAGCATATCTAATTCGAAGTTTCCTGTTACAACATTAGGCGTGGCGAGGACATGGTTACCCCAGAATATGTTTCCAAGTGAATGAGGTTGCAGGAACTAGTCGGATATACCAATTCTTGACCTCAAGGTTTATTGGAAATAACAAACAGGACGGCTTCTGATAACCAAAGCTCTTCTCATGACCCACATTGTGCATTTCCAATTCACTGCCGTGGCAGTAAGAACCCAAGTGTTAGTGCCACTTTTGGCCTTTAAGTGCAGCCAAACTGGAGGCATTGAACACAGACCTCCTCTTTCGTATTGATCCTTCAAACGTACTCCTACTTTGACTAATGTTGTCTGCAATATAGTGGGATCCTGAGGAAACAGTAGGAGTAGAACCTGGTGCTTGAGCTGCCCAAGCTTTCACAAATTCAATATTGTCACTGGGATCATTCATCAGGTAGCAATGAACTTCTGGAACTTACTCAGGATGATTGAACTTATCCGAAATGGATGGAGCTTGTGGGTTTTCCAACTTCTCTGGAATTTCGGTGGTGGCTTTAATGTTATGTTTAGAGATGATATCAATTTCCAAAGCTGCCTGATCACTTTCCTCCTGTCTGCAATACTAAAGATTAAATATGCAGAACTCGATCTTCTCTTTGTGGATCAATACTTCTTCAGCCAGACTAATGTATATACACAGAGCCATAACTAATGCAGGAAGTAGGATCTGGTTTTTGATCCACGAAGCAGCTTAGGTCGTTTTATCTTATTATACCTGAAGGGCTACATCTTGATTTGCTTGAGGAAATGCTGCTAAAATAAAACATCATCCCAGAAGATTTGCCTGCACATAAATACTAAGTTGCTTTTGTTAAATCATGCTACACATTCATCAATGCTGAAATTTGCACAAGAACATTTGAAGTAAGCATTTTTTTCTTCCCAGGATTTTTGGAATATCTTAGCCTGCAAAATAGATGCCATGAAAATATGCAGATACAAAATTTAAAAGAGTTTGATCTCGTCAGTTTGTAAGTTCATTCAATGTAGTGTGTATTCCCATAATACAATGATTCTGATGAATGGAAACTCCTAAAGAATCCACCCCACTTCAGAATACAAGCGTGTCCCCATATACAACCTATTACAATGAAGAAAAATCGAATGGGACACAGTCGATTTTAATGAGCATAATCAACTCAAGATCCCTGAAAGAATCCATCAGCTCTACAAACCTAATTAACTGAATGGCACAGAACGAGGAAAGCCAGGTATAGATCGCCAAATGTCACCTTATGCTCTCCCTCAAGGCTGGAAAATCTGCTGCCTATCATGTCTCAAAGATTTCTTACAAGAATCGTTCATCATCATCAGGTCATCTTTGGTCTGCATCAAATAATGTCTAGTACAATTTGTTGAACCCGGAAGGTGTTGTCGATTCAGCTACTCTGGGTAAGAAGCCTTCCCTTTCCAGTGATAAATTTAGGCTTGACATGATTTTGACCAATGATATCCACAATATAGGAGAGCAGACGAAGGCATAGCCAAACACGGCAAGCGCCCGCACTATACCACTAGAGTACCAAGGGTAGGCCATTACCAAAAGAGACCCAAAGATGCCAAGCCATGGTACTAAAACCGGGAGCATTGGCAGCAGAAAAGCATTGACGGCTACACAGGATAGAGAGAAAACACCGAGCAGGTACATGGCCCAGCCTACTAGAGGATGAACAGTATGGGGAATCAGAAAGAATGGAATTATGTAGGCTGCAAGAATAGACCATATAGCTACCAATTTAAGGCCAGTTTGGATGAGGAAAACACTTTTGTCTTCTCGTCTATAACACAATTTAGACAAATTGGGACGAGCAAGTCGAGTTACTGCCATTATTCCCAGGTAAAATACTGCTTGGATGAATACAAGGGGCATTTCTGCACTGTACCTGCAAGATGTGAGGCCAAATTGATCAGATTCTTGGCAGTAACATGGTTTCTCTCCTAGGGTTACGATATTGTTTTTAGGTTATAGAAAGCTCTCATACAGTGATAGAATGATAATGATCGTATTCAATTACAATATACATAAGGTCATATACTAGAAATGTCATGATTTTTGAGTGGTGATGAAGTACCAAAACAGCGAAATTGGAAACATATCGCATGTTTAGATCATCGAAGCAGAAAAAACTTCAATGCTTGGGAAGGCCCAATGAGTTCTTACCCAATAGTTTGACGCCGCTGTTCATGCCATTGGATGCCGAGTGGTAGCACTGGCCATGACCACCAATACCATGGTTTCAGCCACACAGCCCCCGGAAAGGTGATTACGCTGTTAGGACCACATGGCACACTCCATCGAAGTTTAAGATCTGAATCAAATAAAATCAATGTTATCAAACTCAACATTGGTATTCCCTTTTTCACTGTCCTAACCTCCAAAGACATCATACAAGAGCCTTCCAGTAGAGGAAAACATAATCACTATACTGGATAAGATGAATGCATTTTTAAAGTACTTACAGTAGTAAGAGGCATCCATTTGGTAGCCTAGAGGAAGTCTGTATTGTCCATCAAGCATAGTGCCATTATTAGTTGGATGGAACATGGGCTTATCAAGCAAATCGGGGAAATAGCCTCCTATGAATCCTTGATCAGCACCGTCGGGGTTACTCCTAGCAACCTCCAACTCATGAATCATGTCCTTGAAAACTGCCTTGGACGGCTGCATTGAAATTTTTTACGGCACACGTAAGAAAGAAACGTGCAGCAAATTCTACCAAGCACGTAAATGTGACCTTTCGAAGGTATTAACAACACATAATCAAGAAATTTTGTCATAATCCTAAAAAATATTTGCGACATAACTTGGAGAAAACCCTTGCAAAGTTTTCTTACCTGTAACACGAAAAGCCCTGTGTGAAAGATGCATGGATTAATGAAAACAGCACAAAACTGGCCGCATTGAAAGAGTTCATCAGTTTTCTGGAGGAAAAGATTGTCTGCGTCAAGCATGATCACCCTTTCATAATCAACTAGGCTCCATGCATAAAGTTTGTTCATTGTCAACTTGAACCGCCAATCAAAATTTCCTTGAGTAGAGTAAGGGTTGTTCAGATTTTGAACTCTCAGCACCCTAGCACCATCGCGTTCTCTGTAGCAGAATGTGTGAACAAAATTAATTATATCGATCTTTTATGCTTAACATTTGCAACTTTTTAACTCAGAAAAAATGAATCAAGAAAATTAAGATTAAGGGTTCCAAACGCAGTTCATTTTGCAACTTATAATTCATTTCGACCCAGATATAGCACAGAATCAACACGCTGAGGGACTAAAAGTGGTGATTGTTGAATGTTCTTCAATGTCTTCTTTTATTCTTAATGTGCCCTTAAATCCAAATACACACCCCATATTCAACAGATCTCCCAAGACAATCTTTGTGTACCATATCACATTAGAAGTTCATTCGATATAGCATAACTTATGCAATATGATTGTTACATCGATATTGATTTTCATTGTATTAAATTCTTTAAAGATAAGCGTCACACTTGCTGTTGAGCTTATTTTCAAAGGATTTATACATCCACTAATCCGATGTCACATCCAACTTCCTTCACCAGTTAGGACGTTAGAATACTTTAGCTACCACGTTCAAAAAAAATGGGCCTGGCTGACAACTGCTAACTTTTGATTAATACAAATCACTTTGATGGAGTATGCTCACCTTAAAGACAACTTATTAATACTGATAAAATAATCCAAACCATACGTAACCTTATCCCAAAAGTATTGCAATCCTACTTACCAATTAAGGTTTCGGACATCTCTAAATTTAAATTTCAATGAGATTCACAGACAACAATTAAGAGACAAAAGAAGAGTCATTAAAAGTATGAAGAAAACCAAGAAAAGAAACAAGAAGTCTTTAACAATAAGTGCAAAGGGGCGCCAAGTGGAGAAAGAGAATACGCGTGAAAGTGAAACACTCAAAACATTATCTCCTCTTTAATCAAATAGCTCTGACTTGGCCCCCACTTGACCTTACATACATATTTTAAGAAACACCCAAATTAAGAAACCAGGTCATACCTTAGTACATCAAACCATTGGATAGCTTAATTCCCTAAAATTAAGAAACTAGACCTGACTTTTGAGTAGTTAAAAACATTTAAAATTAAGAGTAACGACAGAGCTAGTAGAAATAATACTCCCTCCGGTCCTTAATATAAGGTCTTTTGATTTGTTCTAGGTTTCACCTAGTACGAATTTTTAATTGACGAAAAATATATTTTCACCTTCGTTGTCTTTATTATTATGAAACATTTTAAGGTTTTTTTGTCAATTAAAAATATGTACTAGGTTCAATTTAGAATAAATCAAAATGCCTTACATTAAGGACCGGAGAGAGTATAATGAATTTAGATACTGAACTATGAAATAACAAAATCATTAAATCTCGCTATTATGATTATTGTGAAAGTTTATAAATACACTGGATCAACTTGTATCTCGTTTGAGTGTGGGTTTCCAATGTCACTATCATTTTTCTTTTAGATTCATAATAATTAAGACTATATAAGTCATATGGTTGGTGTTGAAGAAATAGAGAATAGATATATTGAGAAATGAGGATGAATGACGAGGCCATGATTTGGGATTAAACAAGAATATTCTGGTTGATCTACTCAATTAAAATTTTCCATCCAAGTGGCCTTTCAAGTTGGGCCAACGGTGGTACATTTTCTATGGACCAAAACAACTAGGAAGGGCCACTGCTAGCTAGAAGAAGTGGCGTGAGATATTTATGGCATTTACATGCACTTTTATCATATATTTGCCTCAATCATTATATTTTAGTTACATAAAAATGTACTTTATTACTTACTAAAAGGGTGAATGAACACGTCACATAATATGCAAATTGACGTTGCTAACACGATTAAGTAACGATAATGTCCATTTAATAAGGTACGACAGAAAACTTTTGAGGTGTAATAATGAAAATTTACGATCGAAAATGAAATGCTGACTCAAACACTAAATCCATTGTTTTGCTCCTTCCAAAACTAGTGAAAGAAAATTTCAGTGTAGCAGAGTTCTTGTGTTTTCTAGTCTTTGAAACTTTTGATGTGTAAGTAAAATCAACGCTGAAATGAAATGCTGACTCGATCCCACTTTTCTCCTCCCATTCTTTTGACCCAGAAAAAAGGTAACCAAAGTGAAAGTTTCCTCCTACTTGCCGATGTTTCATTACCATGTTTTTAATTTTTCGTGTTTCCGTCCCGAAATTATTTTACCGGAACTAATTCGGACATTATCTGATTTGGGTATATAATGTTTACTTGAGATTTTGATGGTTTATCACAACTGGTGATCATAAAAAATGCTGTGGACGGTCCAAATTAACTTGACGAAGTAGGTCCTACACTCCTATGATTAGTAGTTGTGTTCAAATTCATAATGTTCAAGGCAGCTGGAAAAAGGACAACAAATCAAACCAATAACACATGGAAAAATTCAGACCTTGAGGACTACAAAACACCCAAAACTGAACAGAAAGGAATTTTTTTTAATTTCCTCTTTTTTTAAAACAAAAAAAAAAAAACCCCCCAAATTAGTAATTGTGGATCTAAAACCAAAGAAAATGAGAGAGGGACCCACTATCCAGTCACATGGCATTACGCCAGTCTTGCCAGACTATAATACACCCTTTTTCCCTGGATTCATTCCACACCCAATAAAAACTCCAAAAACAAAGTCAAATCGTTTTCTCCAAAGTGTTTTCCCAAAGTTCCTCGGTTTCTTTAGTTCTTACACACGGAACGAGTCCGCCCCTACTAATCCTAAAGTCCACTGGAAAAACTAATTGGGTGTGAATCTACGCGTTTTTGTTCGGCTCATGTTTACTGAAATGACCAAAATGCCCTCGCATAAATTTAATTTTTTTAAAAAAAGGAGAAAATACTAATGCAGAAAGAAAGATGAAAATCATGAAAGGGGATTTTAGCCAAAAAAAAAAGGAAAGAGAAAGAGAGAGAGAGAGAGTTTACAAGGTTTGGACCCATCGGAGAGGGACGTCGACGGAGGCAATGACGACGAGATCGGCATTGACGCCCAGCTTCTTCAGTGAACTCAACATCACCCTCGCCGCCACGTAGAACTCGTAGTCTCGTGGGGTCCCCATGTACATCATTGTCGCGTATGCAAATTTATGCGCCGCCGCCGTCGCCGGCACGTCCTGTTTCACTGCCGTCGCCGGTGAAGACAATAACAATAACAATAAACCCACCCCATGTAAGCATAACAATCCCATTTTTATTAACCTGTTCCGCCCCATTCGAAACTTAAACTAATCCCACCACCACCACCAAATTAACAACCAATATTCGGTACTCTCGCCGGAGAAGTATAAAATGTCTCCACGAAAATCCCGGTGGGGCTTTTCTCCCTAAAACATTGCAGAAGAATGAAAACGGAAAATGAAAAAGGAAATGGAATTGGCTTCTCTTTGTTTTTTTTTTTTTTTTTGGGGGACGGACTTGCAATCAGCTCCGGAGGAGGGATTCGATCAGAAAAAGGAATCAAAAATCGAATCAATTTTTTGTCTATAGATAAATGTCCTAAAACTAATGTATGATACAGACAAATTGTGACAATGTGGTTAATTGGTGTGTCTGAATGGAGATATAAAGAAGTGAAAATAAAAGAAAAAGGAAATAAGCAGGGCAGGCTTTGATGGGGGAAGAACTGAGATTGTGAGAAAGAGCACTCTGTTTCTCTGAGCAGAAAGTATCGAAGGGAGGTTTAATATATACAGTATTTGCAGACAAACGAAACCGGCTTTTTTCAAGACAAAGAAAAAATAAAATAAAATAAAAAAGAACTCGTCTTTTGTTTTGTATTTTGTGAGTATTTTATTTCTGGGAGAAGATGAAAATATCTGGTTTGTTTTTTAATATTTGTTTTTACCGACCAAGAAAAGAAAAAAGTATGTTACTAATATCTATCTGGTGGACAGACCGGACCAGATAAACGCTCTTTTCTTTTTATTACAGATAAACACTATGTATGTGAACACAACACATGGGCTGCGTTTCAGTGTTTGTCACGCGCCAGAAATAAAACACATGGCACAAATCAAGGAAGGTTGTGTGAAATTAAATTTGTCTCTTGTTTTGTTATGAAATGCATTTATTGAGAGGGGTAATATATCTTGTTTTAACACTTTATTTAATCGGATTTTGGATGTGTAATGTACTAATGTGTGCATTCACTTTGTGTAAATTTTATGTCGTTTATTTTATAGTATCAATCAATCATGTCTCCGATTTTTACAATGGGGAAAATAATATATATTCACTAAAAATCGATAGTAGAATTAAGTAGTGATACAAATAAGGAACATGTACAATGCTATATGATTATTTATTATAGAGCTAGTAATTATTAAAAGTGTGGTTTCAAAAATATATTAAAGACAACAAGTTACAAAACCAAAATTAGTATTTTTTGTTCCAAAGTGATTGTACTGTTTGGATTTTCAATTTTATAAGTACAATTTGATACTATTCGAAATGTGTTAAACTGAACAATTATTTAACAACAGAGAAAGTACTTTTTTGCTGTGTTTTCAAAATCGGATCAGACTGGACGGTCGAACCGGTTAGTCCGGGAACCGAAAACCTCAATGGTACGGTTTTTATAAAAATTAGATTTAGTAAAAGCCGGTCAAACTCGGCCAAACACGGACAAAATCGCAGTTCGACCAGAAACCGGTAGCGAACCTGTTTTTACATATATTTTTTAAACAATAAAAATTTAATATTTTTTAATATTATTTTGACCGATTTTCACAAGTTTTGAGAAACAAACTAACCGGTTAAAAGAATCTATCAACCCGGTCATGCTAACGGTTCACTTTCCGGTCCAGTTTTTAGAACACAACTTTTTTTGTTAGAAATCAAGATTCATAGTTGTGAATTCTTTCTTACGTTTAGTGTCGTTATATGTTTAAATATATTTGAAAAATCAAATAATTAAATAAGTGGATAACAAATTTTGATGCTGGTTGGCTTAAAAATGGAATACTTGGAAGTTATTAATCATACAAACACCCAGAACAAGATCCGAGTTATCCGAGTTTGCCGTTCACAGCCATGGCTTTGTGAGTTCATTTGTTTTTTAATTATTTTTTTTTTATTTCTTCTACCTCCAAAGAAATGTTGAAGAGTACTAGTAGTAAATAACGAAAATTTGTAAAGAAAATTTACGTCAAGGAAGATGATATCAACCTTACAGCCCAGTTAGTAGTTAGTACGGTACGGCGGAGAAAGAAATGTTATTATTACATACAGATTTTTCATTTTTGATCTGAGCTGTTGAATCTCAATAAGTTGACTACAATGGACGGTCAAGCGATGCTGTTAACTGTTTCCTCTTTTATTTGGTCCATTTTGGTTTCGGGCCTAAATTCATATTATCCGGATTCAACGGCAAGATACTTTTTGGCGTTTAGCCATTTTACGCGAGTAAAAAACTAAACAGTACATACACTATCTCCTTCTATCTCATCAGTAAACCTAATTGGCCATCCGCTTTTCAAAGTTGGTGGTGGGTCCAGCTGAAGAACTAGACCATATACGCGTGGGACGGCGTGTGTGAGGAAACATCTACGCATTGTTTCCGTATGGCGCTCTCTTCATCCTTCACATCGTCAACTTGGGTAAATATGTCGACTGTGGTCTATTTGTGCCAACTTGCAGTTTTCTCCTATTGCTTACTTCGGAATTATTACTTCGGTCTCAAAATTATAATCCGTTTAAATTTTCATTGTATAATATAAATTGGGAAGGAGAAAATATTACATTTTGTTTTACACATTTTATCTAATCACAGAAGTTGTGTATTTTTAATTTTCGTTAACTATTTAAGAAATTTAATGGTGATGACATTGTTTTATCGTGATTTCAAAAACAAAAACGTGTACCAAAGGAATACGCCAAATCAAACAAGAAAAATACAAAGCGAAGCTGACTTTGTAATTAAGTTCCTACGAAACAAAAATTGCAATGTACTAATTAATCTTGAAGTTTCAAAATATGTAACATTATAACTTCCTTCATCCCTAAAACTTTTGTTTTGTTTTTTTTTTTTTTCATACGGACATTTTTTTCCTATTATCTCCTTCACCATAATTGTTGAGAAAACACACCAATTGAAGATTCATTCAACACATACCGGTTTACGAGATTTATAATTTATTTTAAGATTTCATAAGATAATTAACGATTTAATTTGTAAGCGGATAAAAACTCGCAAGTGATAGTTATATCTACGGTTTTACCATATATATATATGTATATATATGTATATGGGTTTGTGCATGACTCTCTATGTTTTGAAAAAATAATTTAAATTGAATTTTGATATTTGTAGTTTTCTGATTTGCTCATTCGGCCATGGGTTTAAAGTTTAAACCGGAGTTGGTTTTCAAAGTCATAACAACATAGGCGGGGCTGTGGATCATTGGTAGCGATAATTTGGTGATTTTCAAAAACTTATGCCGCATGAATTCGTGATGATCTCAATATCTCTCGTTAGATGATTTTAGTGAAAGTATTATCTCAAACATGTTGATCATATTCGTATACACTTTCTGATTTTCCAATCATATTTTCAATTTCTAACAAATTTAATATTATTTGTATCTTACAAATATATAAATCTCGTAAATGTATTAATTATTTTATTTGCCCTCATGAGTAATTCACGTACACAACACAAGCAAACTAATGGGGGAAAAAAAAAAAGCTTTTCGAGCCGTATTTATTTTAAAAAACTAATTATGTGTTATAAATACAACTGGAAGGAGTATTATTTTTGGTTAACCTTTTATTTCGTGAAATAACACTCGTAAACGTTGTAATTACTAAACTAGTGTCCATCTGACAATCCGTCTGCATATAATATGAGACTCGAAATGAATATATAGTCCGCTACTAACTAAAGTTTGACATATTCCTAATTCCTTGATTCCACCTTTCCAATGACACTTGTTTTGTTTACACGCTTACTTTATACTAAAGTAATTAATTCATATAATCTGTGCGATTAATTGACGAGGTACAAACAAATGTGTTGATTTAGCAACTAGCAAGCAAGCGTTTGGAATCTTTCAAGTGTCATACTATACCGTACAGACACGCAAATTTGAATGCTTATTTATTGCGAAGTAATCAGTACCCTCTTTGCTCGAGAAAAAAAAAAAAACCACTGTTCAGATTAACTACTTAATTGAAATAGATTCGTTCATGTTTTTTTTACTTACTTTTTTTTTCATTCATTAAAATGAGACTGAGAGAGTCTGTAATAAATATCCATTTTACACTAACCTTACGTACTTGCTCTGTTATTTATTAGAAAAAAAAATGTTAAAATGAGGATGGTGTCTTTGTTTAGGCGGCAATCCCAAAATTTGCTCAAATAGAAAGTTATCTAATAGAATCATGCTCTAAAGGTATTTTTTCAGTAAAATATATATATAGCTTCATAAAAAGGCAAATTATCTGATGCACCCGGGGGCACCGT